GCAGCCTCTTTCAGACACTTCCTGTCCACATGACACCCCAGCCCCTTTAACTAGGATCTTCCTTCTTCCTGGAGAGTTGGGAGGTATAGAAGATGTCAAACATTTGTGAACACATCTAGGAAATTAGAAGGTGTATGTCAGAAGTGCCCGCTACAGCTTTCACCTTGTGACATGCTACAAAGTTACAATGTACAGTCTGATCACTAGGGAAGATAGGACTGAGGAAGTGCTTCCTGCCTGCCTTGCTGCCTGCAGCAGACTGATGACATCATCTCAGCCTAGACAAAGTCCACACTTCCCATCTGTTCCTGATTTAAAGGGACTGTTCCAGGGGTGGACTGACAACTCATGGGGCCCCCAGGCAATAGGGTATCATGGGGCCCCTTTGTCCTCTCCAACACCCAAAAGCCTATGAAAAAGCCAATGAAAGGTACCAGGGGCATCCCATGGGGCCCCCTACTGACCACGGGCCCTCGGGCAGTGCCCGAGTGCTCAAATGGTCAGTCCGCCCCTGGACTGTTCCTATATTGGAAACAAGTCCCTCTGTTCCTTATCACTCTTCAAAAGTCCATCTTCCTGGTCTGTATGAAAAATATTCACTATAGCGGTGTGTGTATTCATAATTATTTACATTAAAGCTATTTTCTCTAAAGGTTGAATGTTATCCATTTATACAGAATAGCGTGAATCAGGAAAATACTGCAATATGGCCACTAGATGGCGCTGGTAAGCAAAGTAAAGAAGTATTTATTTACATAATGGTCAGCGCCATCTAGTGGCCATAAGTTGGTATTTTCCTGATTCACTTTACTCTTTATAAATGAATAGCATTCAACCTGGAGAGAAAATAGTTTAAAAACATTCAATTCATGCTGTTTTCCAGGATGAATAGCTCCACAATTTTATAAATACACCCTTATGTAACTACGAAAAGTGTTAGAATGTTCTAAGTCTCTTATAAAATCCCTAAATTAATATAAATTATTATCGTGGGTTTATTCAATTATTTTTTGTTGATTCATTCTTCAATGCTCCCTGTCTCTGGGGGTGTGACAGGTTGGTTCGGTGACCCAATTAATATTTATGTTTCATTTGTATAAGTGATGAAAGAGGCACCACACAGCCAGTCTTTTAAGTTCCAAAAGTCAACATCGAAGTGTTGTTTCCACCATGCCTCATCGACACACAATCCCGTCTGTTGATGAATCTTTCACACAAGTTTTACATCACCAACCAGTCATGAAATGTCTTTACTTCGCCCGTTTAATCTCGAAGAATGAGCCCCAAACCAAAACAGAGCCGTGAACGCATGACGGGAGAGCATGAAAGAAGCGCTATTGTTATTCTACCCTCGGGGGCCAATGGTGGGACCTTTAATATCAACGTATTTATTTCATTTCCCGTCCAGGAGTCTAAACATTTCGAGGATACACTCCTTACACCAACACTACTGTCTCTGAAAATTGCTCTGTGTGTATATATATATATATATACACTATATTGCCAAAAGTATTGGTCGGCCGGCCTTTCCACACACATGAACTTTAATAGCCCCCCAGTCTTAGTCCGTAGGGTTCAATATTGAGCTGGCCCCGCCCTTTCCACACACATGAACTTTAATAGCCCCCCAGTCTTAGTCCGTAGGGTTCAATATTGAGCTGGCCCCCGCCCTTTCCACGCACATGAACTTTAATAGCCCCCCAGTCTTAGTCCGTAGGGTTCAATATTGAGTTGGCCCCGCCCCCACGCACATGAACTTTAATAGCCCCCCAGTCTTAGTAACAATATTGAGTTGGCCCCGCCCTTTGCAGCTATAACAGCTTCAACTCTTCTGGGAAGGCCGTCCACAAGGTTTAGGAGGGTGTCTATGGGAAGGTTGGACCATTCTTCCAGAAGCACATTGGTGAGGTCAGGCACTGATGTCGGGGGAGGAGGCCTGGCTCGCAGTCTCCGCTCTAATTCATCCCAAAGGTGTTCTATGGGGTTGAGGTCAGGACTCTGTGCAGGACAGTCAAGTTCCTCCACCCCAAACTGGCTCCTCCATGTCTTTATGGACCTTGCTTTGTGCACTGGTGGCAGTCATGTTGGAACAGGAAGGGGCCATCACCAAAGTCTTCCCACAAAGTTGGGAGCACGAATTTGTCCAAAATGTCTTGATATGCTGATGCCTTAAGAGTTCCCTTCACTGGAACTAGGGGGCCAAGCCCAAACCCTGAAAAAAAAAACCCCACACCATAATCCCCCCTCCACCAAACTTTACACTTGGCACAATGCAGTCAGGCAAGTACCATTCTCCTGGCAGCCGCCAAACCCAGAAATGTCCATCGGATTGACAGACAGAGAAGTGTGATTGGTCACTCAAGAGAACACCTCTCCCCTGCTCTAGAGTCCAGTGGTGGCGTGCTTTACACTACGGCATCAGATCTGATCCATTATGCTCAATCTGCAGAACCGATCCATTCTGCGGGGATCGTCGGAGGGGGTGTCACCAAGTGTTACCATACCGGGGTGACACCAACCCTAGGGACGTCCCTGATATATATATATATATATATTAAAAAATTACTGTTTGTGCAAAAGTTTTAGGCAGATGTGAAAAACTGCACACCTGCCTAAAACATTTGCACAGTTTCATATATGTGTATATATATATATATATAATATATATATATATATATATATATATATATATATATACAGTATATATATATATTTATTTATTTATAATATATATATATATATATATATATATATATATATATATGCAGCCGCATACAGCAGTATCACATAATTATTTTCTTCTACAACCCCCCCTGTTGCCTTGGGGCTTGCATGGAACTGTGGATGGGGGACACTCTATAGATGACTCTGTACCGCTTCCCCCTACAAGAGGAAATGCCTGAAAACGGTGGGATCTCCAGGTATTATTTTAATAAAAACTTCAGATAATAAAAATTACATTTGATATTACATAAACATTTAAAGGTTATATGAGATTTTAAGGACTGAGTTTTGGTCTCTATAGTATAAAGGCAGATGTCATGAATGAACAAAAACATGACTTTTTTGTAAAAAAGTATTTATAAAAAAAATGCTTGAGACATTTGCACAGCCACCACAAATAATCCCCGTAATTTGCCTAATGCATTTATTCCCTGTGATCGCCAGCTCCATCTAGCGGCTATAATGTGGTATTTTCCCAATTGAGGCATTTCAGGAAAATGCTGCATTATGGCCACTAGATGGAGTTGATGGAAATAAAAGTATTCGGAAAATTACGGGGATTATTCCTGGTGGCTTTTCCATAAATAGATCCTTAATATTGTTAGAGTAAAACGCTAAGTCAACTACCTGGTGGGTTTTCTTTTTCATATATTTATTTGCTTGAAGTACAAATTTTTTATAACATTCTGCAAATACAAACATATCTCAGACTCGCCTAGAACACACTGAATTCCAGTTGTTATTATGTTACTTTTTTTTTTTTCTTTCACAATGTCTTGTAGTAGCTGGTGACCATCCAGGGTCACGGAGATACACATGGTCATGGATGAAATCGTCTAAAGTAGGTTATCAGGTTTTCTGTACACAGAGTATAACCAAATAAAAACACAATACATGGGGCAGATATGGGGCGAATGAGGAGGATGAGTTGGCCAATGTGCTCAGAGCTATAGTCCAATTTTAGACGAAAGTGTGCGTTTTCGATAAAGCAGAAATGACTTGAAGTAGAAAAAAGGCAAAAAGTTTTTTAAAAAAATTGTGGGTAAAATAAGGAAGGGTTATAACCCCTATCAGTTTTTTTGCCATCTGTGCCCCATTGGGGAGATTTCCTTTCACTTCCTTTCCCATTGCCAAAACAGGAAGTGAGAGGAAATTATTATTATTATTATTATTATACAGGATTTATGGTGCCAACAGTTTGCTCAGCGCTTTACAATATAACGGGAAACAATACAGCAACAATACAGTTCAATACAAGAGGGTTAGGAGGGCCTGATCCTTGGAGCTTACAATCTAGGAGGGAGGGGCTAGTGGTACAAAAGGTAGTAACTGTGGGGGATGGACTGGTTGGAAAAGTAGAAGATTCCGTTATTAGCTGAGGGCAGGATAGGCTTCCCTGAAGAGAGAGGTTTTCAGAGATCGCCTAAAAGTGAGCAGAGTAGGCGATAGTCTGATTAATTGGGGTAGAGAGTTCCAGAGGATGAGGGAAGCTCTGGAGAAGTCCTGGAGACGAGCATGGGAGGAGGAGACAAGGGAGCTGGAGAGTAGGAGGTCTTGCAAGGAGCGGAGAGTACGGTTTGGGTGATATTTGGAGACAAGATCGGTGATGTAATTCCTCCAAAGTGAGGGAATCCCAGAACTAGTGTCCCCATTGGAAGATTTCTCCTCTATTCCTGTATTGGTGACAACCCAAAATTCTTTTTTCTCTTTCACTTTTGGTGATAACGGTATACACGAGAGGTTGAATCTCCCTAAAGGGACAAAGACAGCAATAAAAACAAGACAGGGGTTCTAATCCCTATCTATTCTATTGAATGCTTTTAGTTATACTTTAAACCCACAACAGCAAAATCAGTCTGTAGATGCAGTAAAGCACGCTTGTGATACTCACTGAGGAACCTAAGGGGTTAATCCTCTGCATTGTGTAAAAAGGCTGACAAGTAGTCCCTCTGCACTGCACTCTGTTTGATGCTCTAGGATGGCGGGTCAGCAAGCTCAGACCGCGATCTACCAGTCTCCTGGCCACAATTTACTGGTTGCTGACATGGGGGGGTGCTGGGGTGGGCTATGCTCCCCCCAGATTTTAGTTGTGCCCACCAAAGCCAAATCTATTTAGGTGGGGAGGAGCTATGCTGAGTGCTCTGTCGAAAGTGACCCCCTGTCCTCCACCCTGCCAGTAGTGACCCCTGTCCTCCACTCTGCCAGCAGTGACCCCTGTCCTCTGCTCCTGCCAGCAGTGACCCTTGTCCTCTGCCCTGCCAAAGGTGACCCCTGTACTCTGCCCTGCCAAAAATGACCCCTGTCCTCTGCCCTGCCAAAAGTGACCCCTGTCCTCTGCCCTGCCAGCAGTGACTCCTGTCCTCTGCCCTGCCAGCAGTGACTCCTGTCTTTGCCCTGCCAGAAGTGACCCCTGTCCTCTGCTCTGACCAGCAGTGACTCCTATCCTCTGCCCTGCCAAAAATGATCCCTGTCCTCTGCCCTGCCAAAGTGACCCCTATCCTCTGCCCTGCCAAAAATGACTCCTGTCCTCTGCCCCGCCAAAGTGACTCCTGTCTTTGCCCTGCCAGCAAGTGACTCCTGTCCTCTACCCTGCCAATGGTGACTCCCTGTCTTTGCCCTGCTAAAGTGACCCCTGTCCTCTGCCCTGCCAGCAGTGACTCCTGTCCTCTGCCCTGCCAAAAGTGACCCTGTCCTCTGCCCTGCCAAAAGTGACCCCTGTCTCTGCCCTGCCAGCAGTGACTCCTGTCCTCTGCCCAGCCAGTTGTGGTCCCTGTCCTCTGCCTTGCTGACCCCTATCCTCAGCTGTGTGATCCCTGTGCTTTTTCCTGCTGACCCCTGCGCACAGCCGTGACTGACCCTGTACACTGCCCTGCTGACCCTGTACCCTGCCCTGGTGACCCTGTACACTGCCCTGGTGACCCCTGCCAAAAGCCGTGCTGACCCTGTCACTGCCCAGCCAGACCCTGACACTGTCCTACTGACCCTGTACACAGCCCTGTGGTCCCTGTACACTGCCTTGCTGACCCTATCCTCACAGCTGTGCTGACTGCCCTGCCCCTGTGCTTTGCCCTGCTGACCCCTGCGCACTGCCCTGCTGACCCTGCGCACAGCCGTGCTGACCCTGTACACTGCCCTACTGACCCTGTACACTGCCCTGCTGACCCTGTACACTGCCCTGCTGTACACTGATTTTTTATTGCACTCCCACATCAGACAGGGTTTATACTGTATCTCCCTCTATCCATTTGTGAGATTTACACAGCTCTGTCACACAGCACAGGCCTTTCTGGCAGGGCAGGAGACCTGATTTTCATCTGCTGCAGTTCAGTAACCTTTTACAGGTCTTGACCCTCCCCCAGCGTGTATCTGGACAATGAATGAGAAGCGGAAGAATGATGAGCTCACCTCTCTGTCACTCTGCTCCCTCTTCCTGTTGCACCACATTATGGCAACACACAGGCTGGTGCACAGCTGTCCAAATTCATGCTTCTCTTGCCCCTCCCCCATCCTGTGACCAGGAAAAGATGGAAGAAAATGCTGGCACATATCTTTGGCCAGTCAAAAAAAAAGTCTTTCTTTGAGCTTGATGACTTGGGTTCAGCAGCAAGTTCTCTGCCCTTCGAAGTAGGGGGTCACCCAGACTGAGACATCCACATGTAATAGCACCAATGAGAGGGCTGAAACACTTTTACTACTTCCAGAAAAAGCAGCAGGCAGCCAACACATTTCGGGGGCAAACCAATCCCCCTTCATCGGGGCTTAGGCAACGTGTTGACGTGTTTAACGGGCTCAACACAAAACTTCTGAACAATCAAACCTGTGGCAGGGGATAAGCGGCAATACAGCCAGTGAGTCCTGTGTGCCGGTGTCAGGGGCAATATTTTTATCCGAAACGCGTTGTCTGCATATTGATTGTTGTGGAATGAATGAGCGTAAAATGGAAGTTAGCTCATCTCCTATAAAAGAAAAAAAAGTAGAAGCGTAGACCAGGAAGCCACCTGGTTCCAAAAGTGTCCAATAGGCTTCGGTTTTCCCAGCAAACACCCGTCTAACGCATTTCACCCCCCCCCCCCCCCCCCCATTGGTTTAATCATAGCAGTGCTTTACAAATAAGCCCATGAGCGGGTGAAATGTGTTAGAGACGGCATGGCTCAGGAGGTGAAACTGAAGCCTATTTTGACACTTTTGGAACAAGGCATCTTCGCGGTCTGTGCTTCTTCTTTTTTTATTTTATTGGTTGAAGTCAGCACCCAGCAGCGTTTGAAATAATTTGTCTGATTGCCTCGAGCGGCACTTTTTGTTTGATTAGCTCATCTCCTGTTGAATTTGATCTGGCATCAGCCTCTGACAAAGCAGGGCCGGGGGGCAAGATGAAGAAGCAGCACAAGGAGCCAATCAGATCATGTGCTGACAAGAAGCATACTGATAGGGGGAGAGAGCAGAGTGACAGAAAGATGAGCTTATAACTGTGCTACTTCTCTTTTCACTATCCAGCCTGGCTGAAGGTAGATCCAGGAAGACCTGTGCTCAGAGGAGGTGGGTTGAATGATGCTGGTCATAAGACTAGAAAAAAAAGTACTGCGGGTGCGATCTCTGGACTGATAGTGAATATTGAAGCAACAGCTGATTTTATTTGAATCTTTCAATATCCTACTCATTTGTATATCACTGTTGTTAGCAGGGGTTCATATTTATAGCCCAACTAAAGTCATTTTCTTTTTAGTATTTGAATAGGGTGGGGGAAGAGTTAACCCTTTTTTATGTCTGTTTGTGGCCCCATTGGGGAAAGTTTCCTTCACCTCCTGTCTCGGTGACCAACCTTCCAACCAGGGGTGGACTGACAACTCATGGGGCCCCTGTGTCCTTGCCCACACTCAAAGCACACCAAAAAAAGCCTATAAAAAAGGTACCAGGGGCACGTCATGGGGCCCTCTACTGACCCCGGGCCCTCAGGCAGTGCCCGAGTGCTCGAATGGTCAGTCTGCCCCTGCTTCCAACCCTTCCTCTCTCTAAATATGTTTCTGTTTGTGTCCCCATTGGAGAGATTTACCATACAATCTGTTGTCCAGTATTCTCCCTATTTACTATCAGCCTATAAGCCCTGATAAAGGGCAGTGTTAAGCCCCGAAACGTGTTGGTCTTTTTTTTTTTTTGTGGCCTCCTGCAAAGATTTTCTGGTCTTCTATTGTATCTGTGGCCCTCTCATTCTCTCCGCCCCTTCTTGTCCTAAAAAAGGCAGCAAGGGGAATGGCAATGAAACGTTGTCAGCTGCTCTAAAGTTGTGCCCATAGTTGGGGAAAATTTTGAGCGAAAATTCTTAGAAAAGAAACTTGATCTAATTTTTCTAATCATTAGTGGGGTCAGATCGCGTTTGTTTTTGACCGCAGTGATGGGAAAATTTGAAGAAGGATGGAAAATATCTAAAATTGTATGCAGTTTTGTTCGGTAAAGTCCATTCATTTCAAAATCAAATGTTAAAAGCAAACAAAATCTTTCGAACAAATGTTCTAAGGAGGCTTTTCTTCAGAATTTTCATTTGAAATTCTAACCATCTTTGGCCAGCTTAACCCTCTCCCGCACCATCTAAAACCAAATAGAACATTTTGGTTGCTATTAGGACTAAGGGTCATTCAAAGGCAAAGAGTGACATATGCAGGCCAAACATGGGTTGAATGCCAAACGATTTGTCAATTAAAAATCGAAAATTTTGTGTGTTTTGTAATCCAATGGTGCCACCATTAATTTCAAAATTCAACCAACCAAGTCTTCAATTTCACCTCATGTTATTGCTGAAAAGAAATTTTGTTCCCGGGAATCTTCTTTTCTTTCCAGGTCACAAATTTGTTAGTTTTTTAAAAAAAAATTTCCAACATGCCCAATTAATTCAATTCGATTCGAAAAACGGCCCTTGCTGTGGCCCCACTAATGGTCGAAATTCGAATGATAATTCAAAATTACGATTTTTGACAGAAAAATTGTTCGGTATTCAACCTATGTATGGCTGGACTAAGCAGAGAAATGGCTTCCTTCTTACAAGTTGGTCAGACCTGATTAGTTGGATACATAAATTACAATCTGATTATACAATCTCGATACAATCTGATGCAGTGTGGAGGACTCGTTATGGTTGAACTCCTTTTTATCTCTCAAATATTCCTTTCCCCTTGAACAGTAAAAACACAAAATATTTTACATTTCTTACACCTTTACCCAGTAAAATTCATCCTCCTTAATGCCATCACTTCTCTTTCAACGTTTTAGCAATGTGGGGGAGGTTTGTAAGGGGGGGGGGGGTAGAAGTAGGGTAGCACTTTAGAGTGGGATTACACCCTGTCTCCAGCCAATTTGGGCCGGTCTTCCTTTTCCTCTTGTAGGGTTTTTACATTGGGGATGGAGCTGCTAGTGTAGCGGTGTATTGAATTACCAGAACCATGGAGAGCTCCAGCAGGTGGTGGTATTTGAGCCACATGTCCTCCCCACCCAAGTGGGCCCAGCTCTGGACCTTATCCAGTCATTCAAGAGAATAGTTTTGTGGGGTCTACCTATGTCTTAGATCAGTGGTGGCCATGTACTTTGAAACCTATGGCTAAGGATACAGACTTTAATCACTGGTGGCCATGTATTTTGAAACCTACAGCCACGGATATCAATTTAGATCACTGGTGGCCATGTACTTTGAACCATATGGCTAAAGATACAGACATAAATCACTGGTGTCCATGTACTATGAAACCTTCAGCTAAGGATATGGACTTAGATCACTGGTGGCCATGTACTTTGACACTATGGCTAAAGATATAGACTTAGATCAGTGGTGGCCTTGAACATCAAACCTTTTGGCAAAGGATGCAGACTTAGATCAATGGTCTCCTAGATTGTAAGCTCTAACGAGCAGGGCCCTCTGTTTCCTCTTGTACCAAATTGTATTGTAACTGTAATGTCTACCAATATTTTGTAAAGCCCTGTGCAAACTGTTGGCTCTATATAAATCCTCTATAATAATAATAATAATAATGGTGTCCATGTACTTTGAACCCTACAACTAAGGATACAGACTTAGATCCCTGGCAGTCATGTAATTCGAACCCTATGGCTAAGGATACGGACTTAGATCACTTCTGGCCATATACTTTGAGCCTACGGCTAAAGACACAAACTTAGATCAGTGGTAGCCATGTACTTTGAACCTTATGGCTAAAGATACAGGCATAGATCACTGGTGGCCATGTACTTTGAAACCTACAGCTAGGGATATGGACTTAGATCACTGGTGGCCATATACTTTGAAACCTACAGCTGAGGATATAGACTTAGATCACTGATGACCATGTACTTTGAAACCCATGGCTAAGGATACGGACTTAGATCACTGGTGGCCAAGTACTTTGACCCTATGGAGGAGATGTTGAAGTTTAATTGTTCTACCATTATTTAGATGCCATAATGCCTTTTTACCAATCAGTAAAGACAGAAAAGCAAGTTCCCTGACTGCACATCCCATTAATGGGTGTGCTGGGATGAGTATGATGCAATGTATGGCACGAAGGGTCTATATACCGCATGGTCTTTTGAACTGTGAGGGAAGGTGTACTGGTGTCCTTTCCTGTAGCCCTCAGGGGGTCAAGCAGAGAGTGGTGGATCCCACTGCTGTCCTTGAGTGTAAGAAAGGGAGATAGAGTTGACATGGAAGCTTTGGGCACATCAAGTCTCTCTACAGATACAGGAGATTCAAGTCAACCACTCATTGACTCTGGGGTTGCTCCTATTTTAGGCCACATGGCCATTCACAACTTGGCAAGCCACAAAGGTCACAATATGTTGATGAGTCCCCTAGCTACAAGGAAGAGATTCCCCAACCTCTTATTCTCATGTTCTACAGTGGGCCCCCTGGAGCAAGAACTGGCCTATCAATGAGTCATTACAGGTTTCTACAACCAGCCGTACATTATAAGTCATCGCCTCTCTTCAACCACAAGGGAATGGTAACATGAGAGAGCAGTGGTGACCAGTCATCCTAATAGGAATCTGATGCCCTAAAGCCTCTCCACTGTATTTGAGGTGTCTACATGCATTAATTGTAGCAATATTTTGGAAATAAAGTTTAATTAGCACATATCGGAAGTTCAGATTTAAATAATTAAATCAACTTTCAGTATGTCCATTCAGGCATGCCCTTGCGTGTCTAGCTGTTGGTGATTGTACATTCAGATTTTTTTGTGTTTTTCTTGCTTTAGACCTGGTTAGAGTTTTTCCTTTTAAAAGATAGGGAGGTGAAACGTGCACCTGTCACACCGCAATGTATATAAGCCATTTTCTGGTAGACACCAATGTAAAGGAGGTCCCTATGAGGCAGTGATGTACATGATCAATCAAAATGGCGGTACAGATGCTAAACTACTGGCAGTATTAATGATAATAAGGTCATTCCATCAAACAGTCCCTGCATGTAAAGGAGACAGGCCACCCACAGGATGGGGGATGGTGGGGGGTACAGTAAAATTAAGAATTGGGGCGAATGGGGATTTGTGGCATAGGAGAGATGTTTGCCATGCTAACAGGTTGCATAGACATTGGACTTTTCTCTGATTATATTCAGTAAAACCATCGTTCTATTCTCCAGGTCTTGAAGTTCCTCCATTTTCCTGTTCATGTCCTCTTCATTGTCTTTGAACTTCTGTCCAAGCTCTGGATAACAAAGAGACAATGCAACAGATCATCCATCAAAATAAAACCCAAGGGGCCATTTCCTAGTTCAGTATGTGCAGAGTCCCCAGAAGAACCCTCATAGAAGGGGTCTCAAAACTATGGCCCACTACAAGATTTTATCTAGCCCAAAGCTAAGGTTAGTGGCGTATTCTCCATGTGCACAGGTTGAGGATTAAATTCAGCAGAGGCTCTGCACAAAGAGAAGTATGGATTTTGAAACATACTGTACATACTCACCTAGGAGGATGCAGCCTTGATCCAAAGCTGCATCTGTCCCCCCGCCGCCTCTAAGGCTCCATTCACACTTGTACAACTCCAAAGTCACGCAACTTTGGATTGCAACTTTGATACAACTTTGGATGGGTGCGCTTTTATGTGACTTGTTGTCCCTCTGCAAAGATGACCCACTGTTGCATGTAAAACACTCAGGTACAACTTTCATGCAACTTTTGAGAGTTAACATTGAAGTTTATGGCTCTCAAGTCACATGAAAGTCACATGAAAGTCACATGAAAGTCACATGAAAGTCACATGAAAGTCACATGAAAGTCACATGAAAGTCACATGAAAGTCACATGAAAACACATGAAAGTCGGATCAAAGCGGTGCATGAACTACTTTGAAGTCGCTGCTACTGTAGCGAGTTCCTGAGCTGCCAAAAGACGGCAACAGCATGGTTGGCTAGTTTTGGGAGGGCGTACATAGACGTCCTCCCAGAACCACACCCCCCTCGCACCACCCCATCCCCCCCCGGGGCGCACATTGTGCGTGATCTGTCCTTCAGACACAGCTGATCACATGGTAAAAGGTGTCTTTGATTGGCCCTTTACCTGGATATGTGATCAGCTGTGTTTGAAGGACAGATCACGCACAGTGTGTGTCCCCGGGGGGGGGGCGGGCGGGGGATGTGGTTCTGGGAGGATGTCCAATCACAGCTTGTCAGGAATGGACTCAGCACTGGTGGTGGGACTCACCTGCCATGTGGGCTGCAGTACCAGGGCTGGCCAGCGGGTGCTCTCAGTAATCAGAAGCTCACTCTTGCAGGCAGCCATCACCTGAGGCTGATTGCAGGAGGTGTATTTAAGGAATGGCCAGACCTGCAGGCAGGGCCTTGGTGTTGTTTCCCATGAGCCCCTGTACCTTGTATCCTGTGTGCCTGTTCCTCTGCCTATCTGATTTGTTGTCGACCCTGCCTGATCCTGACCTCTGTTGACTTCTCCTGCTCTGACTCCTGGCTCATCCCTGACTATTCTTCTGCCTACTCCTATGCTGTTTGACCTCCTGTTGCTGTACCTTGGCTCGTGACCCGTTTACTCTTTGCCTGCTGCTTTGTACTGATCTGCCTCCACCGTTACCGAGCTTGTCTTACTACGCTACACTCCATACTGTCATCCATCCATCCCGCACGGATCCAGTCACTACTGTCCGAACCTGCCAGCCCCTTCACATCAGGTTTTCCCCCGGTACATAACCTCAGCGGACCCCTCTACCACAGTTGGGTGCACTCAGGGGCCGCGACCTGGTCTCAGTCCTGCGCCAAGTCCATCCCCACCATCAGGGGCTCTGGTGAAAAGGCAGACTGGGGCTTAGACTCCGCGCCCTGGGGAATCCTGTTCTGTGGGTCACTAGAGATCCCGCAAGGCGATGCCTGACAGTACCTTACGGCCTGCCTGACCATTCCACCTCTCCAGCCTGACTACGCCTGTGTTCCAGAAGCCTGCTGTTTCCCTGTGGCAGTCCACACATCTCTGGTCATACCCGGATCCCTGACACAGCTGATCACAGTGTAAATAGGAAATGCTGGTTAAGAACCAGTAAGTGGTATTTCTCAGGGGGACATCTACACTTATCATCAGTGCCCTGATAGAATGCATGAAGGTGAAAAACCTTGAGTCTTTAGAACCGCTTTAAGCATCTGCATGGTTGTGGCGGGGGACATCAGAGTGTAATCCAGTTTGGAGTAGACTGATGGGCTCTGAAAACTGATGCAGAATAGGCTGGTTCTGTATAAACTAAATACATCAAATAACCTGGAAAATGATATCAGGATAGGTAGTAGAGATAAGGAGGGCATAAATCTGGAGAGCAAATCAAGTATATCATGAGATATAAAGAAACAGGTCCACATCACTTACTATCTAGCTTCTCCTTGGCATCCGTCGCTTTCTTTAGCAAGTCCTGAGCCTCGTCTTTTATCTGCTGTACTTTCTGCATGGCTGACCCTGAGGAGGTGTCCACTCCTCCAACCTTGTCCTTCAGGTCTCTGTAGTTGTTCTGGACCTCTTCCATCTCCTGGAAGTTAGAACACAGGACACGAGAATGAGTTTCTTATGGAAATTCTGTGAGTTACCCAAACTGCCATACTCTGTGAGTCCAAATTATTAACTTTCAATAAATATGCCCACAAAGATTATTATTTTGAGCTCAATAAGACCATTCTCAAACAACCCCAATGGGCCATTTTTTCAGGTTTCAGGATAGGACAGTCTGTGTTGTCCATAAAAGAAAATAAGACTTCCAAGGAAAGGTAGAGGATGAATGAGACTCTTTAATAGGTCAGATACTATGCTAATTGGGATAAAACCAAAGCAACAACTCATATTTAAGGTGTAAAATGTCTTCATGCATGGTCATTTTATGTTTTGGATGAACTGGACATTATCTGGTTTTTGAACACCAGTTTTGTACCTTGTCAAGCCCGTCTGTGGCCAGCATAGCCTTGTGGCCTTTTGGTTGGCCTCGTTGGCCTTCTGTCTGTTGGATTCTACTTTCTTCATTAAAGCTTCTACCTCTGCGGCCAGCTTGGTCAAGCGATCCATTATGGAGTTCTCCTTTTCCACCACCTGTGTAAGGTTTTTCAAGGACTGAAAAAAATACAATGGTAAAACAGGGCCAGAACACCTACAGTATACATTTATATTGACAGCAGGGTTGGATATATCCAGTCTAATATGGGGGTGCCATAAAAAATGTCAGGGGTGCAGAGGATGGGAGGTCAGCAGGGCAGAGGACAGGGGTCACAGCTGGCAGGGCAGAGCTCCTCCTCCCCATACAATGCATAACCAAGATCAGTATAGTGTCAGGCTAGGGCAGTAAAGTATCAGATTAGGGTGGTATTGTGTCAATTTAGGGCAGAATAATGGCAAGTTAGGGTAGCATAGTGGCAGGTTAGGTCAGTATTGTGGCAGGTTAGGATAGTATAGTGGCAGTATAGTGACAAGTTAAGGATGGCTTTTGGAGGGGGCGCAACTAAAGTCTGGGGGCGCATAGCTCACTCCAACACCCCCCTAGATCCAGCCATGATTCACAGCATATGACATTGCAGTAATAACAGATGTTAAATGGACCTGTCAATCTGTAGTAAAAAATATTATGAATATCCATCGTTTCCTAGACTTTTGGTAGGAACACTGACGCTTGGCTCAAGTATCTCTTGCTCAACCAAACCTAGATGTACTGCCATGGCAGTTTGTGAACAGAATGAAACCACAGCCTAACCCCTTGTCTACCAAGGTACGTTTAAAAATGTCCTGGTATTCTAGGGGGTAAAGCAAGCTCACCACTACTGCTGCATCCGTAATCCTGGTATTGATTTTTACAGCCGGCAAAGAGTTTTCAGGTATAAGTGGTCCGGGAGGCTCTAGAGATGCCCCTCCCCCCACTGATGGTGCCCTCTTTGGTTCCTCTGGGGAGCCCATGGCCACGGTAAAGTGTTGTATCAGTGAGAGCAGATGGTAATCAGAGAACACTCGTTCCCCGATCCACTAATGAACCCGGAAGTAGCGTGCATTACATCACTTCCAGGCTCACAGATGTCATTCCTAGGCTACTGTAGCAGAGAATGCAGCTAATCAAGCACAATCTGTGCTTGATTACGTGCGGTGGAGGCCATGCAGGACATTAGCGGTCTAACTGACCCCTAATGCCTCCATAAAGAGAACTTGACACTTGCTCATTCTATCACACAGGGACTTGTTAGCTCCCTTGTGATAGCAATTGAGGGGAAAAAAGAAAGAAATTAATAAGTGTAAAAAAAAGTATATAAAATTATAAAAATTATTTTATAAAATGTAAAAGCACCCCCCCCATCATCCCCTTACACACCCCAGTGCAATTGCACAGCATAGGGCACATGTATGTAAACGTAAATTGTGCCACATGTGAGGTACTGTTGTGACCATTAGAGTAAGACCACAAATTCAAGAGCCATACAGTAATTGAGAGGCAACTCTAAATTGTTAACCCATAAAGATTTCTAAAGCACTGCCTATGGAGAATTTTGGGTATCATAGTTTTTTTGCAATTTTCACAGGTACATGTAACTTTAAGACTTGACATGTTTGGTATCTCTTTACTCGGCACAACCCAATCTTTGTATTTTACCAAAAAGTTTGACAGCAGCATTGTTTTTCTGGGAAAGAAATGAATGAATGAAAGAAGGACAAACGGGATTGGTGGAGTCCTGTGGACTGACAACCCTGCTTGGGATTTACAGTGAAGCAGAAGTTCTGCCAAAATAGGTTAAGTTAGGATCACACTGGTTTTTTGGCAGATCCACAAGTAGTTTTCTTCTGTACTCACACAGTTTTAAAGAACATAGGAAAATCTGCTTGTTTTGTACAGATTTATTTTTATTTATTTATTTCAGGTACTTATATATCGTCGTCAATATTACACAGCGCTTTACACATATATATATTGTACATTCACATCAGTCCCCTAACCCTCAAGGGGTGTACAATCTGAGGTCCCTAACCCTCAAGGGGCGTACAATCTAAGGTCCCTAACTCACATTCATACATACACATACTAGGGACAATTTAGACAGGAGCCAATTCACCTACCAGCATGTCTTTGAAGGTTGGGAGGAAACCAGAGCACCCAGAGGAAACCCACGCAGGCACAGGGAGAACATGCAAACTCCAGGCAGGTGGTGCCGTGGCTGGGATTCAAACCAACGACCCTAGTGCTGCCAGATGGAAGTGCTAACTATTTAGCCACTGTGCTAAATGAATATGCTTGTCTTTTTAATTTGCCTAGTATACAGGATGCCAAGGATGGGTCCTGAACAGAAGATACATTTCCCATTATTTGTGCTGTGGTTCCTTTAAGGGAGACAATGTGAATGAAATTTTGAAATTTCAAGGGTTCTCACCCATGCAGGGTGAGGGGTCCAGGGAAGTCCAGTTGGAGAGGAGAGAATGGACTCACAATTCTCTCAGGTTTGGTAAGTCCTGGAATTTGGAGAACATTTGGATGAGAAAAAGCCTCCAAACTTTAATTACAGGGACTTTTGTCCTGAAAGGGTTAACCCATCTGCATAAAAAGGCCAGAAAAGGAACAAGAAGCAGCCATCAGGTAGAGTATCTGTGAGGAAGAGTATGAGAAAGAGTGGTGGACTGCTTGTGCATGAGAGTCTGTGAAGCGCCTGGAGACCAGACCTTTGGGACCCTGAGGCAGGCAAAGATGTAACCCTGGTAAGGGACACTTTTTCAGGCAGTGAGCCAAAAGTTCGATTTGTACCAGGAGTGTAGGCTTTTTTTTAATGTATTTGATACTGCAAGCAAGCTGTTTTGTTTGTCCTGTTTAAAATAAAAGACTGCCTTGCTTTTACCTATGGGGCTGGTTGGTGAACCTGGGCTCCCCAATATTACACCAGATATTCACTTGATACACACTGCAGGGATCAACAGTTTAAAAAATAAAGCGATATTGTATAAATACAACCCACAATAGCTCTGCTGGAAACAATCAATCCAGAGATTTCAGTAAGGCAGCGTAATCAGGGAACAGATTAGACAAACCTAGCCTATATCTAGAGTAAATGTCCATCCTACCTGAAAGATATGGCCATTATCACCCCTTATGACTTCTCCCCAGCTCACATTAGCCAACTGGATGCCTTCCCAAGCTGTACAATCTCTGCCCTGATCTGACAGACTCTAGGAAAGGAAGCAAGTCACTGTAATAGTAGAGGGAGGACACAGCCAGAGCTGTATGGGAATAATAACAGGAAAGGGAGGGAGCCACCATTGTAATACAGAGGCAGCAACTCCTCCGCAATGGTTAACCCATCACTGGTGCACATAATAAATGATGGCTGGTCACAAATGGCCTATTATTCCCATAAAACCGCAGGTGGACATCCTTCTGAGATATCCTGTTATACGTAAAGAGGTCACATTCACACCAGCATGCTCCATAATATTTGTGGGACGTTGGCCTACAGTCCACACCTAGAACTTTTCATTCAACTTCTCACCTCATCATTTCCTCTACTACACAAAGGGCCTCGAATATATAAGATGGTGTCTGGATTGTGCTTGAAGGATCACCTTATAGATAAGTAATGTAGGTTCGCATTGGGTGAATGTTTGTATTTGTGCCTATAGAGCAGAGTATCTCAACCTTTATTCAGTTGTGGCACCCTGTAAAAGTATGCAAAATTTCAAAGCACCCCAGTCTAAATAACATACATGTCGCTTATCAATGAGAAACTTGAATCTTGGATGATGAACACAACCATCGTGAAGAAATTAACTACATATCAGAAGACCCCAACACATCAAAGTTCCCCATCAAGTCAGAGGCCCCACTTCACATCAGAAGCCTTCATCACATCAGATGCCCTTATCACGTCAGAGGTCACCATCACATCAGATGCCCTTATCATGTCAGAGGTCCCCATCACGTCAGAGGTCACCATCACATCAGATGCCCTTATCATGTCAGAGGTCCCCATCACGTCAGAGGTTTCCCCTTCACATCAAAGACCCCATCACGTCAGAAGTTCCCCCTTCACGTTAAAGGCTTCCAACACATCAGAGGTTCCCCTTTCACATCTGATGCCCCCATCGCTTTAGAGGCCCCCATCACATGAAAGGCTTCAATCATGTCAGAGGTTCCCCCTTCACATCAGATGCCCCCATCACATCAGAGGCCCCCATCACATGAAAGGCTTCAATCATGTCAGAGGTTCCCCCTTCACATCAGATGCCCCATCACGTAAGGGTTCCCAACATTTCAGTGGTTCCCCCTTCAAGTTAGAGGCCCCCTTCACGTCAGAGGTCCCCCTTCACATCAAAGGCTTCCATCACGTCAGAGGTTACCCCTTTATGTCAGAGGCCCCCATCATGTCTGAGGTCCCCCATCATGTCAGAGGTCCCCCATCATGTCAGAGGTCCCCCCTTCCTGTCAGAGTTCTCCCATCACATCAAAGCCCCCTATATTTCAGAGCCCCCCCATCACATAGTCAGAGGCCCCATGAAATAGTCAGAGTCCCCCATCACATGGCTAGTGTCCCCCATCACAGAGTCCTCTCATCCATTTCTGGATCTCATGCTGGGAGCACCCCGGGGGAACCCAAATTGTGGGTGGTGTGGCACTTTGGTTGAGAAACTCTGCTATATAAAGTATAGAGGAAGAGGAAAGCCACAGTTGGTGGCATTCTAAGAGCCATCATGTCAGAGGCCCCCCCTTCATGTCAGAATTCTCCCATCACATCAAAGACCCCTATATTTCAGAGCCCCCCCATCACATAGAGGCCCCATGAAATAGTCAGTGTCAGTCCCCCATCACGTGGTTAGTGTCCCCCATCACAGAGTCCTCTCATCCATTTCTGGATCTCATGCTGGGAGCACCCCGGGGGGAACCCAAATGGGTGGTGTGGCACCTTGGTGAGAAACTCTGCTATAAAGTGTAGAGGAAGCGGAACTCCACAGTAGGTGGCATTCTAAGGGCAATACAATGGTAACTAGCTAAGACAATTCATCTTGGCCCATAAATTCTTTCCAAAGCCAGGCAGGGAACAGTGGGGTAACATGTTATATCATGCAGGTGTCTCTGACTACCTAGATCACTCCTTATTGCCATCTAGAGGTCCAGAAATAGCTCAACAATTTGAAAACAATGCATGAAAGTGTGTCACTCGTAGTTCTAGCTTGCCACCAGTTTCTAGGTGGTCCAGCATTCCCATACATACTTTACAACTTTACACATATCCAAGAACAGGGAGTTTGCATCGCATTATTGGAGCCCAAACATAGACTCAGACCTTCCAGTCTACATACAAGAACACCAATTCAATGGCCTTTGTCTATTATCCTTGGTGAGGTTGAATAAAGAAACAGGTCCATCCCTAAACAGGGACATAAGTATAAAGCAGTGAATGTCGTTCAACATTCACTACAGGTGAACCTTCTTGGTGCATATGTTTTAACTGAAAGTCACATTGAGTTCTTTATAAATACGCCCCTTACAGTGTATCTAAAGACAATTTTTTGAGTGAGTGGTGAGGGGTTAGAACCTCTGTGAAATTTTTGCTGTTTGTGTTCCTGTTAGGAAGCGCAGTTCTCTGCGGTAATATGCGCGTTATATTAATGTAGTTAATGCTCATTACGTTTCTTAGCATGTTGAGGTGCTATTTGTTTTAAATAATACCCCAGGGCACTAAAACAATAAACTGTACCAACCAACATGTGTTGTGCCTCATAGCCAGAAACAATGCATGTCTGTTTTTTGGGAGGATGAGGTGCATTGCCATAATGTGACGCACATTACAGTGTGAAAAAACAAGCCTTAACACATGTGCATTACATTGCCAAGGTTTGCACGGGAACTGGAACAAAGGGGAAATCTATTATTGGGGAAACTGTTCTAAAAGGCATTTCCCTCACTTTGGAAGGGTTTATTCTCACTTCACTTCATACAGGACAGGATGTGAAGGAAAACCTCTCCAACATGACACACAGTGGTGTCGCTAAGGATGTTGTCACCTGGTGTGGTAAAACATGGTGTCACCCCCATCCAATCATTTTTATACTCCCCTCTCCACAAAGTACAGACCCCTCTCCCTCATTACAGACCCCCCCTCCACTAAGTATAAACCCCTCTCCTTCAGTACAGACTCCCCTCGCTCAGTATGCACCCCACCCTCCATCAGTACATACACCCCTCTCCACTAAGTATAGACCCCCTTGCTCAGTACAGACCCCCCTGCCAGTCCATATCCTCAGTATTGACTGTCCTCAATACAGGCCCCCTCTTAGTACAGACCACCCTTCCTTGGTTCCCCCCCCCCCCTTAGTACAGACTCAACTCCCTTCCAGCCCCCTTTACCCAGCATGGAACTGTACAGATCTCCAGAAGTCTCCCTTGGGAGGGCGGAGGGGTTGGAGAAGATGGGCGTGAGCAGAGTTGGGGAGATGGAGAAGAGGGGAGGTGAGCAGAGCTGGGAGGATGGAGAAGGGGGAGAAGGTGAACAGAGCTGGGAGGATGGAGAAGGGGGAGAAGGTGAACAGAGCTGGGAGGATGGAGAAGGGGGGGAAGGTGAGCAGAGCTGGGGGGATGGAGAAGAGGGGAGGTGAACAGAGCTGGGAGGATGGAGGAGGGGGGGAAGGTGAGCAGAGCTGGGGGGATGGAGAAGGGGGGGAAGGTGAGCAGAGCTGGGGATGGAGAAGGGGGGGAAGGTGAGCAGAGCTGGGGATGAAGAAGGGGGGGTGAACAGAGTTGGGGCGGTGGTGAAGAGGGGGCGGGAACAGAGGGGATGGAGAAGGGAGGGTGTCACAGGGGTGGACTGACCATTAGAGCACTCGGGCACTGCCCTAGGACCCGGGGTCAGCAGGGGGCCCCATAAAATGCCTCCGGTACCTTTTTTATAGGCTTTTTTGAGTCTGAGCAAAGACACAGGGGCCCCATGATCCCCTATTGCCCGGGGGCTCCAAGAGTTTTCAGTCTGTCCCTGGGGGGTGAGCAGAGTTGGGGAGGATGGAGAAGGAGGGGTGAACAGAGTTGGGAGGATGGAGAAGGGAGGGTAAGCAGAGATTGGGGGGGTGGTGAAGAGAGGGTGGGAGCAGAGTTGGGGGGAATAGAGAAGAGGGGGGGTTGAGCAGAGTTGGGGGGGGCACATGTGAAGGGGGAAGGGGGGAGTGAACAGAGTTGGGGGGGGGTGAGCAGAGTTGGGGAGGATGGAGAAGGGGGGGTGAGCAGAGTTGGGGAGGGTGAAGAGGGGGCGGGGGGGATGGAAACACAAGACAGTCAGCAGACGGGCTTCTATAGGAGGACTCACCGCGGCTGTGGCCTTTCTGGCAGTGGTCACTATGGCAGGCAGAGGTGTTGCCGCACATACACCGGATGTGCCCAAATTCATTCTCTTGCTACCGGATGTCTCTTTCCATTCACTGCCGCGCCGCCTTTATCCTTATCCTTCAATAACCCAAAGATAAGCCACACGGAAGGGGGGGGTGGGGCAGTCCAGTGGCTTCATGAAGCACAACAGACACCCCAGCCCAGGGACCAGGATTGAAGACTGAAAGGAGCCATATGGTGCGCGTGAGTGTGACAGGGAATAATGTGACAGGGGGCCGCACGGGCCCCCTGGAGCAGGGGTGGAGTTGCAGTTGTGATCCCTGTTGGTGGAGTGGTGTCACCCCTCTGGTGGGTGTCACCTGGGTGTGGTCTGCTCTGCCATAGCGACACCTCTGATGACGCAGATGGCAAAAATTAACCAAACACTTTTTCCTCAGCTTTCTGAATGAGTGTCCAGCTCAACCTGGCAATGGCATAAGTAGATAAAACTCAGATTAAAGTAAAATTGGTTGAACCTTCTAACTTTTGTACATTTGTAATATTTCCGGGATTACATAAGAAATGGTTAATAATCTAATGATCAGGAGTCCTTACATTGTCCATGGTGTTCTTCAACCTTCTGATGCTTTGTTTGGTGGCATTGAGCGCTTTCTCTGCCACTTTCGCTTTGTTCCCAGCCTCGTCCAGCAGAGATTTTGTTTCGGCAATGTTTCCGCTCACCCCGTCAGCCCTCTCTCTGCATGAAAGAAGAATGAAGACATTTTTATTGGATTCCTTTTCACTTCAAAGCCCAATTGGTAATGAGTATGAGCCGAGGAACGACATATCTTGACATGACGTTGGTTAAGCACAAAGCGATTTGTGCATATGGATGAAATATGGATACAGTTATAAAGCGAGGTGCTGCTGAGGTCAATGGATATAGATTATAGACAAATTTAAAGTGGTTGTAAACCTCAGAAATTAAATATGAATAAAGCATATCCCTCTATAGTGTGTACTTCTCTCAATTAAGAGCTCTAAGTGTCATTTCTGTCTGCTGTTTCGTTCCTCTGCTATCAGCATGAGTCACTTCTAACGAGGTTTCCTGACACCAAGAGAAAAATGGTGACAGGGGAGGGACCTCCAGCAGATTGACAATCTCAGCTCTGTTCCTGTGTGCTGTGTGAAGAGTGGGTGTGTCCCTTTGCACCAATCAGCTCTCAGAGCTCTCCTCACTGATGTAACTTCAGCTCCCTGCCCCCTGCTTTTCAGAGCTGAGAGATCTTGTGTACATTCTTCACTTTGAATGGATGTAGGGGAAAGATGGCTGCAGATAAACAGGTACAACTTATGTAGGAGGATTTGTTCAATCCCTGTGTATCACCTGAGGCCAGTCACTTCATTGGGTATATGGAAGGGTTTACAACCATTTTAAAGTGTATGTCTAATTTTTTCAGCTTTGATAGAGTGGGAAGGATTAGAACCCCCCTGTTGGGTTTTAATATTATCTAGAGCTATATTAGATTTGTCCATACTTTCTGTTCAGATGACAACATTTTCACAATGTTGATCTTTTTTTTCCTTTTTTTTTATTTTTTTTTTGGGGGGGGGAGGGGAGGGTACTTGAAGTGTATCTCTAGGTAAAACCTTTTTTTAGTATTGGATGGTGAGGGGAAATCCAAAATGTTCAAGTGGCCCCTAGAACAAGTGGTAAGGTCATATCATCTAATGGGGCCGCTGGTTTTAGGGGACAACTGTCCAAGTGAGGAAATCTCTCATTTTTAGAGATTTCCTCTAACTGTTTGATGCGTCTCTGGGACATGAAGGAAAGAGAATCTATTTGTGTACTGTCATTTTGGAACTTTTAATTTTCTCTTTTTGTTAAAACATAAAATTAGGAGAATGAGAACCCTTTTTTTGGTACAAGAACAATATAACTATGAAAGGAGCTATCACAACCGATATTCAGTATGCCTACCCGGTGGCTTCAACACTCCCTTGGGTGCCACCATTATGGGACATGTTCAGATGTGCCCATGGGCTTTGGTTCTTGGCAGAGCCCATTGGCATATCTGTGCACGTGATTTTCTGTGCACGTGTAAAGACAGGGAAGGTTTCTGACTTCCCTGGCAGCAGTCTTTGCTCATGCGGGAAACCCAACATGTGTGCAGATGGTCAGGAAAACCAGTGCATGAGCATATGTGTCCAAGGCTGCTGTTAGAAACCATACAGCTAACTTGACAGGGCCCCCACCCCAAAAAAAAAAAACAGTTTACTATGCTTTATTTATGATTGAATACAGTGAGTGATTAGTATCCATCACTCATTGTGTTCATTCAAGAAAGGAAGGGGATGGTAAATGTTCGTTATTTAGAGGATCCTTCCACTACTCTCCATCCTGAAGGACCCTATTGTGTGCTTGCAACTGCTGGTGGGAAGGAGAGGAGGGAAGTCGGGAGCACTACGGGGGTGGGTGCACACAGGGGAAACTGGCAGGGTGAAACGGATGGTGCACATGCAGTGTGATGGGTGTGGCAAGGAAGGCAGTTACTGGAACCGATCCCCTGTATGGCTCTCTCTGCAGCAGCTGAAAGCCAGCAGGAGGGTGAGGAGAAGAAGCCAGCTTTCAGTTGCTGCAGAGAGAGCGATACAGGGGATTGATTCCAGTAGTTGCCCCTCCCGCCATACCGATCCCCCTCCCTACCCACATTCGATTCACCCAGCTGCCTCAGCCCCCCTGCTGGCCTGGGCCCCGTTCAAGAGGACTGGTGGTCCCCGCTTATCCACAGCCCTGGATGTGTCACAGGGCTCTCTGGGGACCCGAGACCTATGGCACATGTGTGCAACAGCAAGTTCTTGCCTAGGTGAGAATTGCAGAAGTGCTACTTTGCAGAACAAATAAATCACTTAAAAAATTTAATTCGTAGGAGAAGGAGGAGGGAAAAGCTAATGCAGCACAATATGTCCTTTAGTGTGAAGGTCGGCTTTAAAGCCCATTGCACCCTTAAAGCCCCCTCCCCTTTAATTTTGCCTCTTCCGTTGACTTCATTGGATTTTGCCAAATTGGAAAAAAAATTGCTGCATACTCCCTATTTCACTCCTCCCTGCTATCTATCACACACATTCAGTGATTAGTTGGAGTCGGGGACCGTGCTGGAATGGTTCACTTTAGGAACCCATTTAGTTTTGTTTATTCGTTTTTTTAATTTGATCCAAATATTTCGAATTCGGTCGAATTTAATCCAGTTTGACCGAATCAAAAAGTAACAAATCGGCATTCTAATTTTTTCTTTTCTAAATTTGAATTTCGGAAGATGGTTATATTCTATTTTATTCTATTTTACTCTATTGATTTTTCTACTCTAGGGTTTCCCAATCAGGGATCCTCCAGAGGTTACTGGGGGTTCCTTGAGCAATGAGAAATTTGTGCCTTTCAGATAAGTTCCCACTGACACCATTGATCTTTTTAGCTATGTGCAACATGGTAATTCTTCCCAATGACCACAAGTGTAAGGAACATTCTTCCCATTGACCATCACACTAATGTATCATGAGTTGTAGATATAGTAATTTTTAGCAGGGGTTCCCTGAGGCCGGAAAGTTATTTCAAGAGTACCTCTGTGTTGAAAAGGATGAAAAAGGCTGTTTTATTCCATGCTATTCTATTCTTTTATTTTCTATTCTATTCTTTTCTGTTCTAATCCATTCTATTCCTTTGTTTTCTATTCTATTTTATTCTCTTGTTTTCAAATTCAATTTAGTTTTCAAATTTGATTCAAATTCAATTTGAATTTAGGTTGTAATTTTTGTTATCTCCGATTCGTTTAAATTCATTGCTTTTGTAATTGGGAAGTTAGATTAATTCTAATTGGAAAATTAAATTCAGATACATCAGAGTCTTCAAATAACGAAAAATGTGTCCGAATTCCACAAATTTGGAATGAAACGAACCGCACATGTCTGACATGTACCCTAAGTCCTGAAGAAGGTGACACCTAAAGCCCTGAAGAAGGGGGAGCCAATTCCCCCAAAATGCATTGGCTTAACTTGTATATCCGTTATCTTCAATAAAAGAATGTAACCCTTCCATCGAATGTGGTGTTACTCTGGACTCTGGGCGCTCCTTTCTCTTCATCTGAATACTTCTGGAACTCACACATTTAGAGAATTTTTAAATGTTTTTACATAAGATTCTCACCACTTTCACCCAAGAGTCACACAATTTCGAAATTGAATTTGTTTGAGAAATGTGTCATTGCTGAATAAACGTTGTGTGAATCTTGTGTGAAAAAATATCATGGTAGCGTGGATTCAGAGAGGCCTTTTCTGTTCTGGAGTTGTGATGACCAAAATGGGAATTTGCAAACAAGCTGCGTGAGCGGCTCCCATTATCATCACATATTTTCCTAACTACAAGAGCTCCGTGACATCTGTAAAATAATAAGCGGGTTTTGCTCTAACAGCCCAGAGGTTTTCTGTGAACACATCTGGAATTTACACACAAAGCTTTGCATCTTTCTCCCCGTGTATTTTATAATTAACCCATCTGCAAAAAAAATGAACACTTTAGACAAACCTTCCAAACATCAATTAGTGATCACAGATTTAACCTTTCTACGGTTGGGCCAACTCCTGAAATAATTTAGTAGCCATTTTCTTGGCCAACCTGTTATTTGGACTATCAGTTCAAAAGGAGAAAGTGGCTTTTCTGAAAGCAAAAACCTCCAGCTATAAAAGTAACCAGGCAAGAGGAACTGCCTCGAGGTGGGTACAGATTTCCACGAGTTCCTTACCTGGCCTCCATAGCCTTTTCCAGGAGTAGCTTGGCAACATTTACACTCTCCGATGTAACGTTGAGGATCATGTCCACCCCACTGAGGTTACTAATACTCTCTGTGACAGATTTCCACAAGTTCCTTACCTGGCCTCCATAGCCTTTTCCAGGAGTAGCTTGGCAGCATTTACACTCTCCGATGTAACGTTGAGGATCATGTCCACCCCACTGAGGTTACTAATACTCTCTGTGACAGATTTCCACAAGTTCCTTACCTGGCTTCCATTGCTTTCTCCAAGAGTAGCTTGGCAGCATTAACACTCTCCGATGTAACGTTGAGGATCATGTCCACCCCACTGAGGTTACCAATACTCTCTGTGATCTGGTTGATGAGAGCAGCAATATCTCCAGAACTGGCCGGGAGTGAGATGTTCAGCACTTGCCTTGCTACCAGTTCAATGCTCTCTGGGTCAGCTCCTTCCTCTGTGGACAGGGCATAGAAACAGATTTAAAAATCACAATTTTCCGATATCATTGGCGGGCAAGTAAATGTGACTTTCTACTACTATCAAAGCTGTAAGATTGTCTTGCCTTCAGCTCACTGGTCTCTGAGAACAGGTGTAAGTTGTGACAAACTATAACTCTATTATACAATTGGCAGAACTCTTTGCCTTCTTGCTGTCTTCTAAATTGGCAGCTTTATGCAACAAACGCCACTGTCACCTTTCAGCCAATCACTGAGCAAAAAAGAGGAGAGCGGAAATGGCCCACAGTAAAAACCACTGTAAGAGACAAAAGGAAAAGGAAAGGAAAAAGGGAGGAGAGAAGTGAAAGAAAAAAGAAAAGGAAATAGAAAGGGAACAAGGAAAGGAGAAATGGGGAAAGGAAAGGAAAGGAGAAAGGAAAGGAGAAAGGAAAAGAAAGGAGAATGGGGAAGGAAAGGAGAATGGGAAGGAAAGGAGAATGGGAAGGAAAGGAGAAAGGAGAGGAAAGGGGAAAGGAAAGGAGAAAAGATAGGAAAGGAAATGGGAAAGGAAAAGAGAAAAGAAAGGAAAGGAAAAAGGGAAAGGAAAGGAAAGGAAAGGAAAGGAGAAAGGAAAGGAAAAGAGAATGGAAGAGCAAACTGGGGAAGAGAAGATGTGGAAAGGGCAGGGAAGGGGCAGGGAAGCAGGGAGAAGAGAAGAATTGCAAACTGCAGAAATTGGCTGTTCAACAATGCTGTAAAGAAAAGCCAGGAAAAAATATATTTTCTGAAACTAAGAATCCTATGTGTTCTCAGTTTATTTCTATCTTTTTAAAATGCTAATACATCACTATCGACCTTACCAGTTAGGAAATCTTTAATCTTCTTAATGAAAGCTCGTAGTTTTTCAGTAGAGTCTTCAATTTTCCGCTTGGTGTCCTTGGCTTTGTTCAAGGTGGATTCACTTTGCACCTTGGCTTCTTGGGCAACGTTTTGGACTTCTTGAATCTAGAAATGGTTTATACAATACACAGAGTATTATTGAAGTCGCATTGTTTCATTTTTGCAAATTTAGCTTGAAATTTGCATGTATAAAAGGATAGGAAATAAAGTGTAACTACTGGGGGTGTAGAAGTGACAACTGCTCCTGGGCGCAGGAGGTTGAGGGGAGGGCAACTAAAACTGCTCCTTTCCCATATTTACCATCCAAAGACCTTACGTTTTCATACAGAACAAGCATTGTATATTTTACCTTTCTTTAGACCTACTTTTCCATCTCTTGTTTGAGACTCAAGAAAGCTGATCAGGATGGTATAAACGTGAACGTTTACTAAATTGTGTTAATAATTGAACTTCAGCAGCTGAATGGGAAAGCCAAATGTTTTGATATAGAATATAAGATCTAAATTACTTTTGATGGCTTTTTTCTCCTCTAGCTGAAAAAAGCATTTAGGGAGATGTTGCCCGTTTAATGGTTTAATGAGATGGTGTAAATCATTTTCCTTTTTGCAGGATGGCATTGGGGTCCATGGGGTAATAAACTAGATGATTGTGTTGCTATGACTATTTTAATTATTTTTATAGCATAAATATATGTAGAAGCTTTGCTTCCCCTATTCATATGCTAATAAACTTGTTGGACTGGTTCATGAAGCTAAGAACAGGAAGTAGGGGGAGAACTTGAACACAGCCATGTGCTAAACAAAGGAAGCAGCAGTAGTTTTTTGCAGGACTCTAAGAAGCAAGGAGTAGTCTACAAGGAGACCTGGAGATAACAGCAGGAAGACTGGAAGAAGAAAGCTTTACCTGGGCCTATCACCAAAAATACACTATAACCCAAGTTTAATGAATCCCTCTTGCATACATTATCCATGCTAATTTGCTAGGAAGGATAGATAGCTTATGCACATGTATATTGCAGGAATATTTTGTGAATGCTTTGTATGCCATTCACTGTTTTGTTTGTATGCCATGAATTATTACACTATAGAGGTTTTTAAGCTTCCTTGCTTTTACTGCAAAGAACCTTAATAGATACAAAGCAAAACAATGATCTAAAATCTATCTGTGACTCTCAATGCTGTTTTCTGTCGGAGTTAAGAAAATTAAGCATCCATTTGGTTTCTTGAGAAGCCCCTTCTTCTTTGCAAAATGAATCCATTAAACAAACTTTTTTTCCTATAAGTTCTTTTTAGGAATGAGCACATCCTCCAAAAAAGTCCAACTTTGAGGCCTCATCACGGAGCATGCAAAACAGACACAGATTTAAGACCTAAATTCAAGATAGTAATACCCCAACTTGCCAAACTCTACCCCATGTGATCATATTTAGACAAACTCACACCTACTGTATATTGTTTGGCTCCCTCCTCCCAGGTTATGGTGCACCTACCTTCTCAGATATGTCATTCAGCTGAGTAGCCATGTTTTCCAGGTCCATCCTGACATTCTGGGCAGATACGAGGGCCTTTGCTGAGATTGGCAGGGCTCCATTACAGTTCTCGCCACCACACTTCCTCTTGCCCTGGTCGTCCTTGCAGTTGGCTCCACCACATGGAGCCTGGTCACAAGGCTTGTCCCCTGGTGCTCCACAAATCTTATAGAAGAGGAAACCCATAAATGAGTCATATAATGCAACACCTGCGACTTTTCTAGAGCACTGATTATGTGAGCCCTTTCAAGTCTGTTACTTTGTTAGGAGGATAACTGTTCAAGAAAATGCAACCAATGCGTTCACCAAAAACAGGGCAAATTGGTCTGGAATGCATCTGACTTTGTCTAATGGATATGTAAATGGTAACCAAAATAAATCTGAGAAGTGAAAAGTCTAAAACTTACAGCAGAATGGCAGCAGTGAAGGAGTAGAAGTGGTATACACACGGGGTTCAAAACAAAACTGAATGTAAACACACCTTTTTTGAATATGGGAGATTGCAACCTTGGCTCAATCGGGTAATCCTACAATAATAATAAATAGCTCTGAAATAGGTAAAATATCAGTTTCATGCAGGTGCAACATCCTGGTATTTCCAGGTGCCCCCAGCATCTCATGTCACCTCTGCGTGGCGCGTTTCGTCACAAATGACTTCCTCAGGAGATCTTGTCATGAAACAGATGGTACAATTTACTAGCAGCATTCTCCTTGGCGGGTGCTGGAATCTTCAAATGAGAGTATTGCCATTCCTCTGCAGCATTTCCACAGGTTTGCTTGCTTAAGAGAGGTCTTTAGCTACCATCACAAAGTTTAGACCACATGTGTCATACACAAGGCCGAATCTGGCCCGCCAGGCTATTTCATATGATCGTAGCACCCAGGGGCGGACTGACAACTCAAGGGACCCCCAGGCAATAGGGGATCATGGGGCCCCTGTGTCCTCACCCACACTCAAACCACACCCAAAAAAGCCTATGAAAGGTACCAGGGGCATCTCATGGGGCCCCCTACTGACCCAGGGCCCTCGGGTCATGCCCGAGTTCCAAAATGGTCAGTCCGCCCCTGGTCACACCTCTCCTGCAGCTACGGACACCCCCCTCGTTTCTTCCCCTACCTTGTTTCAGCAGTCGGCAACAGAGAGGAAGAGAGAATTCCTTCTACAGATTCTGTTCCTTTCTGTTCAGCTGCAGCACCCCCTCGTCTACGCCTTCCCTAGTCTAGGCATTCATCAGGCTCCTGCAGTTGCCTTCAACCCAATCTATGGTCCTCCTCCAGACCAGGGCCGGTGCTAGACTATTTTGAGCCATAGGCAAGACCAGCTACTCCCCCCCCCCCCCCCAAAAAAAAAAAAAAAATTAACACATTTTAATATTTAGAAAATATTAGATCAACAAAACATGAAACCGCTAAAATTCTTTTAATTTGCAAAAATAAGTGCCATAAGATGCCTCCAACACCAATATTAAAGACAAAATATATACTAACCAAATATAAATAAACTGTATTAACCAATCAGAAAGAGAAACAACAAAAAAAAAGAGACAGAGTTACAAAACTCCACAGTGATCAGCAGCTGCCACCCAACTTGCAGTACGAGACTGAGTCTGAGAGGAACACTGAAATGAGCAGCAGCTCAGCTGCTACACTAGCCCATGACACCCGGCATTTTCCTCTGTCCTATCTTCCTCCCCCTCTGCCGCTCCTCCCCTCAGCTCAAGGATCATTCATGACGTTGAGGAGTCTCACACGATCATTCAGCATCCGCTCCCCTCACCCCGATCATTGTCCGTCCCCCTCCTCCTCCAGTCAACTCCATGACCCGCTATCCTCCTAGGCTTAGCTCACCTCCGATGGCTTCTGCCACAACTTTAGTAGCGTCTTCATTTTCGATATGAGACTAGCATGTAATAAAAAAAAAAAAACGGACGATCATTTGTCCGGTATTCTCATGGTGTGTATGAAGCTTAATTCTGGTGCCCATTAATATTTAGACTCCAATCACATGTAGTACCCTCCTAGGTAGCTAGGGGGAGCTAGAGTTTAATTTTTAGTAAGAAGGGCTGAGTAGCAGCCCAGGTGTAATATCTGGGTTAAATTGAGGTCAGGGCTGAGAGGCTCTGCAGGTCAGTTGCCTGATTCCTAACCCTGCTCTAGAGATATTGGAGAAGATTCTAGAAGCAGTGGGGGTGAGGAGGGGCTGGCCTGCACACTTAGGGAACCCTGGCCAATCCCCAAGCAGGAAGCTTGGCATGGGGCCAGGGCAGCCCTTAAATGTGAGAGATCCTGCTCAGCAGATGGAGAATTTGGGTGGAAGATGAAGTGAGAGGCTGGAGAGCAGGAACATGGGAGGGGGCCCAAATGGGAAGGGGTTGACCTACAAGCAGAGGAGCTGAAAAGGAAGAAAGCTCAGGACTTCATCAGCCCCCAGAGCGAGGACCATCTGTGCAGCAGGGAAGGAGCAGCCCAGTGGAAGACCTGAGAGCATCCTCTGACCCATCAGATCAGAGACAGAGGACTGAGTGAGTAGACCTACACCCCCATGCCAGAAAGGGAAAGGAACACTCTAGTGGGAAACTGGATTTGCTTGCTACTTGGAACTGTTTTCTATTTAAAGTGACAGACACTGGATCCCCTGCCCAGAGATTCCTTCAGACAGCTGGATAGAGGAGGTCTGGGGTGGTACACCAAGAGATGCTGGATAGCTCTCCAAGAAGATAATTATTGCTGTTGTACATAGTCCTAGGAAGATTGTCCTCAGTTGTTGTTCCCTTTTGGCATCCCATACACCCCTTAATAAAATCACAAAACCAAGCTCAAGGACTGATTACTACCTCCTGGATGCAAGTCTGTGTGGGAAATACATGTTGCCTGGCTGTGCAGGACTATATGGGGACCCAAAACTTAGCAGATCCTATGGGGGTAGTGCTACAAACAAATACCACTGCCCAGGGGCGGACTGACAACTCCTGGGGCCCCCGGGCAATAGGGGATCATGGGGCCCCTGTGTCCTTGCCCAAACTCAAAAAAGCCTATGAAAAAGGTACCAGGGGCATCTCATGTGGCCCCCTACAGACCCCGGGCCCCCGAGCAGTGCCCGAGTTTCCAAATGGTCAGTCCGCCCCTGCCACTGCCACAGCAATGTGGAGGGAAGTCTACGCAATTGGAGGTTGTAGTATGGAGTCTACTGGACTTCATATCATTTATGGGACTCTATTTAGGCTTTAATGTAATTATTTCATTGGTATTCTTAGTACCTTCTCATTGATTTTAAAGACGTTAAGATCCTTGGCCTTCCTCTGCAGTTCTTTCAATGAGGACCGATGGGCAGTCATGTTCCTTCGGTAGCTGTCCAGTTTTTCTTTCAGAAGCCTCTCTGTCTCATCTCGTGTTTCCTTTGAGTGGCTAACGGGACTATCAGGTCCATATACAGAGTCATTGGCAAGTCTCTCGGCAGCTGTGGAATCTAAGTAGGCCTTCAGGATGCTCCCGTATGTCTCTGAAAAAAAAAAAATGACACCAGTCAAGTCAGGAAACTGGAAGCATTACAGGCGTACCTCGGTTTACGAATTTAATTCGTTCTGCGGGACCTTTCATATTGTGAAAAATTTGTAAACCGAAACAAGGTTTCCCGCAGAAATGCAATGAAAACCAATTAATCCGTTCCGGAGGTCAGAAAAAAGTAAAAAAAAAAAAAGTCTTTTATCTGTTCAAAACTCTTTATAAAGTGCACTTTAAAGGCATAAATACTGTACAGGGACATGATTCCAAATTAATTCGTAAATGCACTGAAGACCAATCAATCCTCCTAGATTGTAAGCTCCCAGGATCAGGGCCCTCCTATCCCTCTTGTATTAAACTGTATTGTTGCTGTATTGTCTCCCTTTATATTGTAAAGTGCTGAGCAAACTGTTGGTGCCATAAATCCTGTATAATAATAATAATATATATAATCCTGTATAATAATAATATATAAATCCTGTATATAAAACAGATTCGTATAATCCTGTAAAACCAATTAATATTCTAAATCCTGTAAAAAGTAAAAAAATAAATGTCTTAATCTGTTCAATAATCTAATTATAAAGTCCTTATAAAATAATAAATATATAAGGGATCGTGTATAATAATAATAATATAAAATGCTGTTAAAACCAATAATCCGTTCATACTGAGAAAAAAATTCGTAAATGCATTGAAAACCAATTAATCCATTCTGGAAGTCCGAAAAAAAGTCCAAAAAAAGTTTTATCTGTTCAAAACTCTTTATAAAGTGCACTTTAAAGGCATAAATACTGTACAGGGACGTGATTAAATATTAATTCGTAAATGCGTTGAAAACCAATTAATCCGTTTGTATTGAGAAAAAAATTTGGAAATACATTGAAAACCAATTAATGCATTCTGGAGGTCAGAAAAAAAGTCAGAAAAAGTTTTATCTGTTCAAAACTCTTTATAAAGTGCACTTTAAAGGCAAAAATACTGTACAGGGACATGATTAAAAATTAATTCGTAAATGCATTGAAAAGCAATTAATCCGTTTGTATTGTGAAAAAAATTCAAAATGCATTGAAAACCAATTAATCCGTTCCGGAGGTCAGAAAAAAGTCCAAAAAAAGTCTTTTATCTGTTCAAAACTATTTATAAAGTGCACTTTTAAGGCAAAAATATTGTACAGGGACATGATTAAAAAAAATTAGTAAATGCATTGAAAACCAATTAATCCATTCGTAATGTGAAAAAAATTAGTAAATGCATTGAAAACCAATTAATCCATTCCGGAGGTCCGAAACAAGTCTAAAAAAAGACTTCTGTTCAAAACGCTTCATAAAGTGCACTTTAAAGGCATAAATACTGTACAGCAACATGATTAAAAATTAATTCGTAAATGCACTGAAAACCAAATAATCCGTTCTGGAGGTCCAAAAAAAGTCTTTTATCTGTTCAAAACTCTTTAATAAAGTGCACTTTAAAGGCATAAATACTGTACACGGACATGATAGAAAAAAAATCCATAAATGCATTGAAAACCAATGAATCCGTTCCTATTGCGAAAAAAATTTGTAAATGCATTGAAAACTAATTAATCCATTCCAGAGGTCCGAAAAAAAGTCTAAAAAAAGTCTTCTGTTCAAAACTCTTTATAAAGTGCACTTTAAAGGCATAAATACTGTACAGGGACATGATTGAAAAAAAATTCATAAATGCACTGAAAACCAATTAATCCGTTTATATTGCGAAAAAAAATCGAAATGCATTAAAAACCAATTAATCCGTTCCAGAGGTCCGAAAAAAAGTCTAAAAAAAGTTTTATCTGTTCAAAACTCTTTATAAAGTGCACTTTAAAGGCATAAATACTGTACAGCAACATGATTAAAAATTAATTCGTAAATGCACTGAAAACCAAATAATCCGTTCCGGCGGTCCAAAAAAGTCCAAAAAAAGTCTTTTATCTTATCGTTCAAAACTTCAAAACTCTTTATAAAGTGCACTTTAAAGGCATAAATACTGTACAGGGACGTGATTGAAAAAAAATTCATAAATGCATTGAAAACCAATTAATCCGTTTGTATTGCGAAAAAAAAATCGAAATGCATTAAAAAACCAATTAATCCGTTCCAGAGGTCCGAAAAAAAGTCTAAAAAAAGTTTTATCTGTTCAAAACTCTTTATAAAGTGCACTTTAAAGGCATAAATACTGTACAGGGACGTGATTAAAAATTAATTTGTAAATGCATTGAAAACCAATTAATCCGTTTGTATTGCGAAAAAAATTCGAAATGCATTGAAAACCAATTAATCCTTTCCGGAGGTCAGAAAAAAAGTCTAAAAAAGTCTTATCTGTTCAAAACTCTTTATAAAGTGCACTTTAAAGGCATAAATACTGTACAGCAACATGATTAAAAATTAATTCGTAAATGCACTGAAAACCAAATAATCCGTTCCGGAGGTCCAAAAAAGTCCAAAAAAAAGTCATTTATCTGTTCAAAACTTTTTATAAAGTGTACTTTACAGGCATAAACACTTTACAGGGACGTGATTGAAAAAAAATTCGTCAATGCATTGAAAACCAATTAATCTGTTCGTATTGCGAAAAAAATTCGTAAACCGAGGCATTATTTTCAATGGATTTTCATTCGTAAACGGAAAATGACGTTAACCGAGGCGTTCGTAGAACCGAAGTACGCCTGTATAAGGTATTTGGTAAGACTGACACATTTTCTTTTAGTAATCTGATCTGAGTCTCGTATACCAGCTCTGGTGGGCGCTCAGTAGGGCCTTTACTTATACATCTGCGTCTCAAACAAATATGGAAGATGGCTGAAGTGGAAGAATTGCATCTCTAACCGCGTTTATCTGTGTTTCATGTCACCCCCATTGTAACAGCAAAAAGATTTTAGTGGATTCAGCTCAACCTCAATCGTTATATACAATATGAGAAGGGAAGAACCACCCACTGCTCCAAAGCATAAAAATCCCACCATCTCAGTTGGGTGTAATGCCCAATGGGAGCCATTCATGCTTTGAATGCCCTGCTGAAGAGGCTACAGCAGCATACCAATGGCAATGATAGTCCCTACTGGAGACCTCCTGCTGACGCGTTTCACTCCATCAGGCCTACTCTACAATTAAGCCTAGTGGGGTGAAACACATCAAAGTCTCTTTTTTCTTTGGGAGGGTGCATGTGATCAGCACAGGGCCAATCAGAGCTGTCCAGATAGAGGGTCAGGGGTTATGCAGCCTCATAGGACAATCAGGGGAATGGAAACTCCTCCTACAAGCTTTAGCCAGTGCTCTGCTGGACACTGATAGAAGTCACAAGACTGTTATATACTGCTGATGAGAAAAAGGCATTTAGCAATTTATATTTACTAGAATAATTGCATTTCCAGCAGATATAGTAAATGCAGGGTCCGGGAAGAGCGGATATAGTGAATGCGGGGGGAGAGCCGGGAGACCAGATATATGAATGCAGGGTCCAGGGAGAGTGGATATAGTGAATGCAGGGTCCGGGGAGAGCGGATATAGTGAATGCAGGGTCCGGGGAGATCGGATATAGTGAATGCAGGGTCTGGGGAGACCAGATATAGTGAATGCAGGGTCCGGACAGACCGGATATAGTGAATGCAGGGTCCGGACAGACCGGATATAGTGAATGCAGGGTCCGGGGTGAGAGCGGATATAGTGAATGCAGGGTACGGGGAGAGCGGATATAGTGAATGCGGGGTACGGGAGAGCGGATATATAGTGAATGCGGGGTCCGGGGAGAGCAGATATAGTGAATGCAGGGTCCAGGGAGACCAGATATAGTGAATGCAGGGTCCGAGGAGAGCGGATATAGTGAATGCAGGGTCTGTGGAGACCAGATATAGTGAATGCGGGGTCCGGGGAGATCGGATATAGTGAATGCAGGGTCGGGGAGAGCGGATATAGTGAATGCAGGGTCCGGGTAGACCAGATATAGTGAATGCATGGTCCGGGCAGACCGGATATAGTGAATGCAGGGTCTGGGGAGACCAGATATAGTGAATGCAGGGTCCGGGCACACCAGATATAGTGAATGCAGGGTCTGAGTAGACCAGATATAGTGAACACAGGGGTCCGGGGAAACAGGATATAGTGAATGCAGGGTCCGGGGAAACAGGATATAGTGAATGCAGGGTCTGGGGGATAGACCAAACCGATATAGTGAATGCAGGGTCCGAGGAGACCAGATATAGTGAATGCAGAGTCCGAGGAGACCAGATATAGTGAATGCCGGGTTCGGGGAGACCAGATATAGTGAATGCAAGGTCGGGGAGACCAGATATAGTGAATGCAGGGTTCGGGGAGACCGGATATAGAAAATGCAGGGTCCGGGGAGACCAGATATAGTGAATGCAGGGTCTGGGGAGACCGGATATAGAAAATGCAGGGTCCGGGGAGACCAGATATAGTGAATGCAGGGTCTGGGGAGACCGGATATAATGCAGGGGTCCGGGGAAATGCAGGGTCCTGGAATGCAAACCGGATATAGTGAATGCAGGCTCCGGGGAGACTGGATATAGTGAATGCAGAGGGTCCGGGAGAGACCAGATATAGTGAATGCAGGGTCCGGGGAGAACAGATATAATGAATGCAGACCAGATATATAGTAAATGCAGGGTCCGAGAAGACCAGATATAGTGAATGCAGGGTCCGGGGACACCGGATAAAGAGAATGCAGGGTCTGGGGAGAGCGGATATAGTTAATGCAGGGTCCAGGGACACCGGATATAGTGAATGCAGGGTCCGGGGAGACCACATATAGTGAATGCAGGGTCCTGGGATTACACGTAGTAACTTTTTAATGAACACAAAACTGCAGCTATATTTTTTTATATTCCCTCTAGAGTTCCAGTACAAACCTAAAGTGACGTTATTAATGATGGGTGGCGTTATCCTCTAACAAGCACTTGGACCCTCAGTAAACATCCCAATGATGGAGTGTATATAGACAGTCACCCTGCACACGCAGTCAATGTATTATCTATATTTAGTAAAAGGCGTGTACAGTGCTTCCATTTATGACCGTGTCAGGAACACGGAGTCACGGTTCTCTGGGGTGAAATCTAATAAAGTGGAAATGTTGCTGATACAATCTGGAAATGCTATCTGCATGGAAAAATTACCAGGAGAAAAAAAACTGAATCTGACATTTACTGCTGATCTGTAGTACATCTAATCCTTGATAAATGAAAACTCCAATTAGAATGAAAATCAGAAGCGACAGGGGTGGACTGACCATTTGGAAACTCGGGCGCTGCCCGAGGTCCTGTGGTCAGTAGGGGGCCCCATGAGATGCTCCTGGTGCCTTTTTCATAGGCTTTTTTGAGGTTGGGCAAGGACACAGGGGCCCCATGATCCCCTATTGCCCGGGGGCCCCATGAGTTGTCAGTCCGCCCCTGGAAGCGAGTTTACAAAACATTCTGGATAAAGAGAAAGCGATTGCTTCATCATTTAACAGTTTAGTCCTCGCGCACACGGGGCGTTTATACAGCGGCTGTTTTTGGCTTTTGACATTTTTTTCTACAGCCAGTAAACCCCCCCAGCATGTTCTCCTATGTGTCCATACACACACAGACTGGAATCAATGGTTTTTGGCTGGACAAAAACCCAGGATTAGTTTTCTAGCTGTAAAAATGCTCTAATGCTGAAAAACGAGGCAAAACACGGTAAAATGCGTTTTTAGACTTTTTTTTACAGAAAAAAATTTTCTGGTTAAAAAAAGCGCTAAAAAATGTGGGAAAATGCGGCAAAACGCTAATGCAAAAACACTACAAAAAGCTGAAAAACTCACGTTTTTAATGTGACTTTACACAGTGGTGCCGTGTTCAAGATTTTAACCACTTCCCATCCGGCCGTTGAATATGAACGGCCGGACGGTGGCAGTGCAGGGTCGGGTGGCCATTTATAAGTGGCCTCCCCGCTCCCTGCTTGTGCACGCTCCCTGGGAGCGCGCAGCACCACGATCCGGTACACTGATCGTTGTACGGGACCTCTGTGCGAGGTCCTGATCATGTGATCACTGATTGGCCAATCGGTGATCACATGAAGAGTAGTAAGCAAGATGTCACTTCTGACATCATTGCTTACTACGTGTGAAATCTGCGAATGATCACAGAAATCACATGGTACAGGGCTATTCACAACAGCCTTGTACCATGTGACAAGATGTGACCAATCACAGTATTTCTCAATGGCTGCAAGAATGCAGCCAGAGAGAAGGAGAAATGATTGTTTTACAGCCTTTATGGGTGTAAAAGCAATCAGTGCAAAAAAAAAAAAAATCTTCATAACCCCCCACAAGTAGTACAGTGTCACCATGGACACCTGACACTAGGACGGCTGATCTCAGATCACAAGGATCGGAAAGTCAGGAGAAAAGGGTTCTGCTTTTCACAGTCGCTGTGTGTGTGTTTACCGTTGAAGCCCGAGGCTGCGATGGCTTCTATCTGCGTCTTCAGCTTTTCCACGGTCACGTTGAGGAGGCTGAGCTCTGCGGTCAGCTTGCCCAGCTTCCCCTTTTGCCTTTGGTCTTTGGTCATGGTGTCATTCATCCTCTTCTCCTGGGAATGCAGTTTGAAGGAGAGCTGGGCCACCTCCGTCCTGGAAGGGGGGGGAGAAAATATTCTGTCATTTATCATGGAACCTCATAAACATTCCGCTATTAATAGAGCGCCATTATAAACAGAGCTCAGGGCATCTATATATAGCTCAGCGCTCCGTCCCGCCGCCACTCGTCTCTCTGCGCAGACAAGTCTGAATGACGTTGGAAGTTATATGAGTACAATGACTAGAATATATCGCTACGTATTACATCTGACCTCCGGCCCTCTCCTCTCCTGGACTGAAATGGCTTACTCTGATATCACTGCACACTGTGAGCTTCTCACAATGTGCATTAGAAACTGCAGCAGGTCAGATAGATCCCGCCTCAATTCTTGGCTGGAAGACGTCCAGCATCATCTAGCACTTTCCTCCCCAGCCTGACTATCCCTAGCCCCACCCTTTACACTCACTGGATTTCAGTTGCAGTCATGGAGACTCAGCATCACCTAAGGCAGTAAATGCCAATCCTCCAGACTGACACCCACCGTTCATTCTGATATTTGCATAACTCCTCCCAACCCACGTGGAAGAAAAAATATAGTTTAAAAATATTCTTCCCAAATATATTGACACATATTTGAAATGCTACAATTTTGGCCGTATTCAATATATTTCAAAATATATGTATATATATATATACTGCATGTTCAAATGCATTTATAACTCTGCCCCCAATTACATCACCAATCTTGTCTCTAAATATCACCCAAAGCGTACTCTCCGCTCCTCGCACGACCTCCTGCTCTCTAGCTCCCTTGTCTCCTCCTCCCATGCTCGCCTCCAGGACTTCTCCAGAGCTTCCCCCATCCTCTGGAACTCTCTACCCCAATTTATCAGACTATCGCCTACTCTGCTCACTTTTAGGCAATCTCTGAAAATCTATCTCACCAGGGAACCAAGGGACCTTGCTTAGGCTAGGTTCACACCTATGCAGTTTGTGTTTGATCCGTTTCCCTAGTGCGTTTTGCGTTGCGTGTTGCGTTTTTGCACTTGCATTTTTGCTGTGTTTTTGTACATTTTGAATTTTGGTTTTTTTTTTTCTCTTTTTGGTAGGTAGATTTAAACCACAAAACGCATCAAAAACACAGCAAAAACGCACCAAAAATGCACCAAATGCTTTTCTGCAGCAATTCCATTGAGGTCTATAGAACCAAAAATGCAACTTTTGGCATTCAAAAAAGTCCCTGACCCTTTCCAAAAAACGCAGCAGGTGAAAATGCGGAGATGTGAACATGTCTCATAGGAAATCATGTTAAATGGACTGTACTGCAATTCCGCAAAATGCTGCGGAAAACGCTTAGGTGTGAACCTGGGGTTAGAGGTAGGTAAGAGGCGGAGACAAGGGGTGACTAGGAAGGTGGGGGGGGGTTACCAGCACCATGGGTGGACTGACAACTCATGGGGCCCCCAGGCAATAGGGGATGATGGGGCCCCTGTGTCCTTGCCCACACTCAACACCCAAAAAAGCCTATGAAAGGTACCAGGGGCATCTCATGGGGCCCCCTACTGACCCCGGGCCCTTGGGCAGTGCCCGAGTTCCCAAATGGTCAGTCCGCCCCTGAGTCCTGCACCTATCCTCTGAGAACAAAGCCCTGGTTGGAGAACCTGCCTTATCTTGTTGACCAGCTTATTCATCTGCTCCAGCATGCGGGTCCCTTCGATGGTCCCCTCCCCGATGATCTGTTTAATGATCCTCAGCTTGTCCTCCAGCTCTTTGATGAGGCTGTTGCTGAGCTCAGGAGCTTCCACTCCATCCTGCAGGTCGGACACCTTTCTTCTGTATGACCCGAAGCTGCTTCTGGAGCTGGGAGATGATGGCGTCCCACTGGTAGAAGCACTGGTGGCAGGCCGAACACCTGGGGTAATTGTCCCGGAAGCCTCTGGCGCACTGGTCACACCGCTGCCCGGTAAACCCGTCCCGGCATCGGCACATTCCTGTCCGGTGATCGCACTGCCGGATCTCTGAACCGTACGCATCGCAGTTGCAGGCTGGAGAAAGAGAGATTTGGATGCAGGAAAGAAAAAAAATGATCAGTATGGTGGGGCAATGGTTTGCAGGGTTGGACCAAGGAGCAGGCAGACATGGCGGACTCCTTGAGCGCTTCAGAAGGAGGTAGGTGCAGAAGGGCAGGATCTTCAACATATACGGCTTAGGTAGTTCATTTTGGACTTTTCGTCTTGGGTGCTAAAGGACCTTATGCTTGCATTACTGGTTAGCGTTGGTGCCTTACAGCACTGGAATTTTATGCTCAATCACTACCATAGACTCAGCTTCTATGAGGTTTCCAGCTTCTCTATGGGTTGCTGCTAATGATCTGAAGCCCTCACGCACACGGGACATTTTTACAGCGGCTGTTTTTTGGCATTTGATGGTTTTTTTCTACAGCCAGTAAACCCCCCAGCATGTTATCCTATGTGTCCATACACACATAGACTGGAATCAACGGTTTTTGGCTGGGATGTTTTTTGGTTGGAAAAAAAATCAGAGACTGGTGGGTTTCTAGAGGAGTTTTTTAGCTGGTGGTAAAATGCTGCAAACCAGCGTTTTTGGACTTTTTTGACCAAAAAAAAAAAAAATTTTTTTTTAGTAAAAAATGCTTAAAAATGCAAATGCTGCAAAACGCTGCTAATCGTGGCAAAATGCTGCTAAACGCTAATGCAAAGATGCTAAAAAACTCAGGTTGTTAACGTGACTTTACACAGCTAACGTTACCTGCATTATCAAAACGTCAAGTGTGCGTGAGGGTTCAAACATGCTGCTGGGAAAATGAGGTATTGTCTCAATGGATAGCAATAAAATGGTTGCAAACCTCAGACATGAAATATGAACAAGCCACATCCCTCTATAGTGTGTACTTGTCTCAGTCCAGAGCACTAAGTGGCATTTCTGTCTGCTGCTGCCTCCTTCCTCTGATATCAGCATGAGTCCCTTTTGAAAGGTTTTCCTGACACCAAGAGATAAATGGTGACAGGGGAGGGAGCTTCAGCAAATTGACAGCCTCAGCTCTGTTCCTGTGTGCTGTGTGGAGGGGGGGGGGGGGGGTGTCTCCTATCTCCATCTCCAAGTTCTCCTCACTGAGCTCTCAGAGTTCTCCAATCACTCTCAGAGTTCTCTCACTGAGCTCTGCAGAGTGTCACCCTATCTCCAATCAGCTCTCAGAGTTCTCCTCACTGAGCTCTGCAGAGTGTAACCCTATCTCTAATCAGCTCTCAGAGTTCTCCTCACTGAGCTCTGCAGAGTGTAACCCTATCTCCAATCAGCTTTTAGAGTTCTCCTCACTGAGCTCTGCGGAGTGTAACCCTATCTCCAATCAGTTCTCAGAGTTCTCCTCACTGAGCTCTGCGGAGTGTAACCCTATCTCCAATCAGCTCTCAGAGTTCTCACTGAGCTCTGCGGATTGTAACCCTATCTCCAATCAGCACTCAGAGTTCTCCTCACTGAGCTCTGCAGATTGTAAACCCTATCTCCAATCAGCTCCCAGAGTTCTCCTCACTGAGCTCTGCGGATTGTAACCCTATCTCCAATCAGCTCTCAGAGTTCTCCTCACTGAGCTCTGCGGAGTGTAACCCTATCTCCAATTAGCTCTCAGAGTTCTCCTCACTGAGCTCTGCAGATTGTAACCCTATCTCCAATCAGCTCCCAGAGTTCTCCTCACTGAGCTCTGCGGATTGTAACCCTATCTCCAATCAGCTCTCAGAGTTCTCCTCACTGAGCTCTGCGGAGTGTAACCCTATCTCCAATCAGCTCTCAGAGTTCTCCTCACTGAGCTCTGCAGAGTGTAACCCTATCTCCAATCAGCTCTCAGAGTTCTCCTCACTGAGCTCTGCAGAGTGTAACCCTATCTCCAATCAGCTTTTAGAGTTCTCCTCACTGAGCTCTGCGGAGTGTAACCCTATCTCCAATCAGTTCTCAGAGTTCTCCTCACTGAGCTCTGCAGATTGTAACCCTATCTCCAATCAGCTTTTAGAGTTCTCCTCACTGAGCTCTGCGGATTGTAACCCTATCTCCAATCAGCACTCAGAGTTCTCCTCACTGAGCTCTGCAGATTGTAACCCTATCTCCAATCAGCACTCAGAGTTCTCCTCACTGAGCTCTGCAGAGCGTCACCCTATCTCCAATCAGCTCCCAGAGTTCTCCTCACTGAGCTCTGCAGAGTGTAACTTCAGCTCTCTGCCCCCTTTTTTCTGAACTCTCGCACAACCTTTATAAATTCAGCACTTTGAACAGATGTAGAGAATACTGCAGATAAACAGGTACAACTTATATAAGTTCATTTGTTTCATCTCTGTGTATCACCTGAGGCCAGTCACTTCATTGGGTATATAGAAGGGTTTACAATCACTTTAAGTGAACCTGTGCTTGGACAATGCATGAGTACCAGGTTCACGCTTGGAGTTCTCTGCTGTAAAGTCAATCCATTAGTCACATGTCAGTAAGTAAGATAATCGCAGGTCACCGTACCTTCGCATCTTCTTTTCGGATCACCCCAGAAATTCTCTCCTGGCACTGTGAGCAGACTCTCCCTCCAAACCCAGGCTGGCAGTGGCATTGTCCTGTGTACTACAGAGAGGACAGCAGAATATACTTTAGAAGGGTATATACAAAATGAGACTTCCAAGGGCCACATCCGCAATAATACAGAAAGAAGAAACAGGTATGCGATGGGTATGGTTCCAGCCAACCTAATTAATCTCCTCCCACCTTGAGTCGGCCCTTGTCAACTTTTGTTCCCCTTCTCTTGGGGGGCAGACATGACGGGAATTTGCACTGGGGTGCCATGCTCCTATGCATGCGTGGTTAGCTACCAGACTTGGGATGGCCTTCCTTTTCTCTGCTGTGCTCCTGCACATGTGCTTCTTGGGACACACGTTGCGTGATGACATCACCACTTGGCTCCATTTTGGGCATACTAGGCACGACGGGGACATATTAGGGCGTACCTTCCTCATGAGCATGGAAACTCTCCAGGAATCACCCGAGTATCGGACATGGGTAAGCTCCAGGTGGACTGTAGGGCATTTGCAGTATTTTTTAGCTCTATGGAGCATGGCCTTAACGGCAACACTGGTAACTTATGGGCTTATCCGGCCAGTATATTATAGCTAACCATGCCATAATTTTGCCATAGATGGACTATCAGGGACTAATATTGGCAGATTTTCTGTGACTTTTTACTTTTGGCATATGAATACAAACTTTTTCCATAAGGGAGATTTGATACGTGGACTTACGCCATATTCATAGATATACAGTGGGGCAAAAAAGTATTTAGTCAGCCACCAATTGTACAAGTTCTCCCACTTAAAAAGATGAGAGAGGCCTGTAATTGGCATCATAGGTAGACCTCAACTATGAGAGACAAAATGAGAAAAACAATCCAGACAATCACATTGGCTGATTTGGAAAGAATTTATTTGCAAATTATGGTGGAAAATAAGTATTTGGTCAATATGAAAAGTTCATCTCAATACTTTGTTATATATCCTTTGTTGGCAATGACAGAGGTCAGATGTTTCCTGGAAGTCTTCACAAGGTTGGCACACACTGTTGCTGGTATGTTGGCCCATCCTCCATGCAGATCTCCTCTAGAGCAGTGATGTTTTGGGGCTGTCGCTGGGCAACACGGACTTTCAACTCCCTCCAAAGGTTTTCTATGGGGTTGAGATCTGGAGACTGGCTAGGCCACGCCAGGACCTTGAAATGCTTCTTACAAAGCCACTCCTTCATTGCCCGGGCGGTATGTTTGGGATCATTGTCATGTTGGAAGACCCAGCCACGTTTCATCTTCAATGCCCTTGCTGATGGAAGGAGGTTTGCACTCAAAATCTCACGATACATGGCCCTATTCATTCTGTCTTGTACATGGATCAGTCGTCCTGGTCCCTTTGCGGAGAAACAGCCTCAAAGCATGATGTTGCCACCCCCATGCTTCACAGTAGGTATGGTCTTCTTTGGATGCAACTCCGCATTCTCTCTCCTCCAAACACGACGAGTTGTGTTTCTACCAAACAGTTCTATTTTGGTTTCATCTGACCATATGACATTCTCCCAATCCTCTTCTGGATCATCCAAATGCTCTCTAGCAAACTTCAGATGGGCCCGGACATGTACTGGCTTAAGCAGGGGGACACGTCTGGCACTGCAGGATCTGAGTCCCTGGCAGCGTAGTGTGTTACTGATGGTAGCCTTTGTTACGTTGGTCCCAGCTCTCTGCGGGTCATTCACTAGGTCCCCCCGTGTGGTCCTGGGATTTTTGCTCACCGTTCTTGTGATCATTTTGACCCCACGGGGTGAGATCTTGCGTGGAGCCCCAGATCGAGGGAGATTAACATGGTCTTGTATGTCTTCCATTTTCTAATTATTGCTCCCACAGTTGATTTGTTCACACCAAGCTGCTTGCCTATTGCAGATTCAGTCTTCCCACCCTGGTGCAGGTCTACAATTTTGTTTCTGGTGTCCTTCCACAGCTCTTTGGTCTTCACCATAGTGGAGTTTGGAGTGTGACTGTTTGAGGTTGTGGACAGGTGTCTTTTATACTGATAACAAGTTCAAACAGGTGCCATTGATACAGGTAATGAGTGCAGGACAGAGGAGCCTCTTAAAGAAGAAGGTACAAGTCTGTGAGAGCCAGAAATCTTGCTTGTTTGTAGGTGACCAAATACTTATTTTCCACCATAATTTGCAAATAAATTCTTTCCAAATCAGCTAATGTGATTGTCTGGATTTGTTTTCTCATTTTGTCTCTCATAGTTGAGGTCTACCTATGATGCCAATTACAGGCCTCTCTCATCTTTTTAAGTGGGAGAACTTGCACCATTGGTGGCTGACTAAATACTTTTTTGCCCCACTGTATATGCTAACTCAGCTTTGTTCATTCATCATTCAGGTTTGTGGCCAGCCTGTTTTCCCGGGTAATACATGTGACATATAGACTGAGGGGGGCCAGCTTTATTCCCTCTGAGATAACATTGACATGTAAGTAATTTTTTAGACACCTCGTTATCTAACTAACTCAAAGGGTTCCCTTCTTCATACTATATTTGTTCCATTCTTTGTGCTTGTGTTGTAGCTTCATTTTGACCAGTCCATACCTACTGCCATTTTAATTTCAACCTCATGATCCGGTTCCTACTGCCTGTGACTATAGCTAAGTAATCTTGTCCATCGCAGTAAGTGCCATATGAAGTTTATGGGTGATATGCATACCTTTATAGTGATACAGTGGCGAAAATAATAATTTGATCCCCTGCAGATTTTGTAAGTGTGCCCACTTACAGAGAAATGAAGGGTCTATAATTTTTTATCATAGGTATATTTTAAATTATAAAGACAGAATATCAACCAAAATCCAGAAAAAAACACATGATACAAATGTTATAAACTGAGTTGCAGTTCAGTGAGTAAAATGAGTATTTGATCCCCTACCAACCAACAATAATTCTGGCTCCCACAGACTGGCTATGTGCTCATGTGGTACACAGATTAGTCCTGAGAAGGTACTCCCAACAACAACTCCTTATGTGTATAAAAGACACCTGTCTACAGAATCTCTTTCTTCCATTCAAACCTCACTACCATGGGCAAGACCAAAGAGCTGTCAAAGAACATCAGGGACAAGATTGTAGACCTGCAGAAGGGTGGAATGGGCTACAAGACCATCAAAAAGAAGCTTGCCGAGAAGACAACTGTTGGAATGATTATTCGCAAAAAGAAGAAATACAAAATAACCATCAATCGCCCTGGATCTGGAGCTCCACGCAAGACTTTACCTCATGGGGTAAGGATGATCATGAGAAAAGTGAGGGATCAGCTCAGAACTACATGGTAGGAGCTTGTGAATGATCTCAAGACAGTTGGGAGCACAGACACCAAACAAATGATTAGTAACACAAAATGCTGCAATGGATTGAAATCCTGCAGCACCCACAAGGTCCCCCTCCTCATGAAGATACATGTACAGGTCCATCTGAAGAATGACAATGAACATCTAACTGATTCAGAGAAGGATTGGGAGAAAGTGCTGTGGTCAGATGAGACCAAAATTGAGCTCTTTGGCATCAACTCAACTCGTAGTCCGTGTTTGAAGGAAGAAAATTGATGACTATAACCTTAAGAACCATCCCTACAGTCAAGCATGGAGGTGGAAACATTATGCTTCAGGCTGTTTCTCTGCTAAAGGTGGCCGACTTTGCTGCATTAAGGCCAATGGACGGGGTCATGTATTGTAAAATCTTGGATGAGAACCTTCTTCCCTCAGCCAGAACACTGAAGATGGGTCTTGGATGGGTCTTCCAGCATGTCAATGACCCAAAACATACCACCAAGGCAACAAAGGAGTGGCTCAAGAAGAAGCACATTAAGGTCATGGAGTGGCCTAGCCAGTCTCCAGACCTTAATCCTATAGAAAATTTATGGAGGGAGCTGAAACTTCTAGCTGCCAAGAAACACCAAGAAACCTTAAGGATTTAGAGAAGACCTGTAGAGAAAAGTGGACCAAAACCCCTCCTGAGATGTGTGCAAACCTGGGAACCAACTAGAAGAAACATCTTACCTCTGTGCTGGCCAACAAGGGTTTCTCCACCAAGTACTAAGTCATGTTTTGCTTGGAGATCAAATATTTATTCACTCACTGAACTGAAACTAAAATTATAACATTTATATCATGTTTTTTCTGGATTTTGGTTGATATTCTGTCTCTATAATTTAAAATACACCTATGATAAAAATGATAGACCCTTCATTTCTTTGTAAGTGGGCAATTCTTTTTCCCACTGTACATATTAAACTATAAGTATAACTTATTTACTTAGACTGGGTTTCTGGCCGCCTGTTTGACTTCTGGCTTGACCTCCCTGCACAACTCAAGTGATGTGAGCATGAATTCTCTTTGCATATTTGTATTATTGACTTACAATGAATTGTTATTTGTATCATTAACATAAGGTTGTTTTATATATACACAGTGATGTCCTATTGAAGTGTTTTTGGTCCTGAAGAAGCCATTTTATTGGCTTTAAAAAGTAGTATACTCACAAAACAATAAAATCAAAGGCACATCAAAAAAAAAAAAAAAAAACAGCAATCTCCCTAGATGGTGGCTGTTGGGGGACTGTAGGCCTCCAAATGTTTGACGCGTTTCGAGGCAGAACCTCTTTCTCAGAGCCGAAACGCGTCAATAATTTGGAGGTCTACAGACCCCCAACAGCCACCATCTAGGGAGATTGCTGTCTTTTTTTTTGTGATGTGCCTTTAATTTTATTCCTTTGTGAGTATCTTACTTTTTCTTCAATAAATCTCATTTTTTAGAAGGTAATGCACTAGGCCCTTGCGCCCTCTGTTTGTTTCTTTGCAGAAGGTAAAATATCAGCAGGCTGAACTTCAGAATGAAATAAAAATGTCATTTATTGTAACATCATTTTCCCTGGGATCAGGCCACGTATGAGGTCACACTCACCACATTGCAGTCCTGTCTCAGGGAGTGCTCTGGCAGGCAGGCGCACGGCTCACAGCCCAGGTCCGCTCCAAAGTTCCAGTAGTTGGGGGCGCACTGATCGCAGTTCTTCCCTATGACATTCGCCCGGCAGGGGCAGTGCCCGGTCACCCTGTCACAGTAACAGGTATCCCTTGTACAGTGCGACTGCAGGGTGCCCAGATCATTGCAGGTACAACCTGGAAAATACACAGTATCCTATGGGTATGAGATCAAAGCCATGTCTGCAACGTCATTAAAGCAGACCTATAGCATCATCCGATGTTACCAGGAAGCTGAAACTCCAGCCAAACATTTATTTTCAGTTGTGAGGCATTGGCGGGCAGGGCGATGGATGGTGTATGGGCGCCAATTAGGTTTTTCGCATACACGTGGTGAGGGGCTCCAGAACGTAATTCTGGTATAGAAAAAACAAACATTTTGTTATCCCAGATCTTAAAAAGCCCTGTTTTGGGTCCTGAATTGATGACTGTGGAAGAAGGGGAGGATCAGAGAAGACAGGATCAAACAGCGGTTTTACATAATGCATTGTCCTATGAGGTTGCATAATGTATTCTGCTCCGTGTTTTTGCTAAAAAAAAATCCCGATCCGTGTAAATTAATTGGTTTACGTGAAAGTTATATCGTTTACAAATGGCGGTATAGATACTGGGATTTTTTTTCTTCTTATACTAGTAATGGCGGCAATTAGCGACTTATAGCGGGACTGCAGCGGGTATTCTGACACAGGGGAACTGATTTGGTGTCACTGACGTCCCCAGTGACACCAATACAGTGATCAGTGCTAATAAAAAGCACTGACACTGTACTAATGGCACTGGGCAGGAAGGGGTTAACATCTGAGGCCATTAAAGGGTTAACAGTGTGCTGTGTGTGTTTTAGTAGGGAGACATGCTGCTGTGTATTTCTCTGTTGTGCAGAGAAATACATAGCAGCATGTTGTTGCTGGCACACTGGTCTCTCCCCTGTCAGTATTACTCGGCAATCGCGGGGAATCTCCGGCCAGGACCCGGTGATTGACATCCTTAGCCGCTGTATATATATATATATATATATATATATACACGAGTTTGCACTGCCCTGCTGCCCTGTAGCAGCGTTTCTGCTATAGGGTGGTGGGCAACTGGTTAAAGATACAAACTTTGAAAACATTTTTATTTTCTTTGTCTGGCAATAATGTTGGGTCTGAAAACTGCAAACGTATAAACTGATCTACAAAGAGTTACAATTAGAGATGAGCGAATTATTCAAAAATTCGATTCGGCTGATTCGCCGAATTTGCGGGAGAAATTCGATTCGATGCGAACTTATTCGCCGCGAATTTAACTTATTTAAAGGGTTTCTAGGCTTCAGAGAGCCTTTATATTAGTGCAGAACACTGTACCTTTAATTTAAATGCCCTTGGAGTCTGCTGGGGAAGAGAAATAATACTGTCAGTCAGTATGACATGCAGATGAGTGCCGTCGATCTTAGAATCACCGCACACTTCACTCATTTGGGCAGTCACGGGGCACGACGAAGAAGAAGAAGAAGAAGAAGAAGAATGAAAAAGAAGAAGAAGAAGAATGAAAAGAAGAAGAAGAAGAATGAAAAGAAGAAGAAGAATGAAAAGAAGAATGAAAAGAAGAAGAAGAAGAATGAAAAGAAGAAGAAGAATGAAAAGAAGAATGAAAAGAAGAAGAAGAAGAATGAAAAGAAGAATGACAAGAAGAAGAAGAAGGACAAGAAGAAGAAGAATGACAAGAAGAAGAAGAAGAATGAAAAGAAGAATGAAAAGAAGAAGAAGAATGAAAAAGAAGAAGAATGAAAAGAAGAATGAAAAGAAGAAGAAGAAGAATGAAAAGAAGAATGAAAAGAAAAATGAAAAGAAGAAGAAGAAGAATGAAAAGAAGAGGAAGAAGAATGAAAAGAAGAATGAAAAGAAGAAGAAGAAGAATGAAAAGAAGAATGAAAAGAAGAATGAAAAGAAGAAGAATGAAAAGAAGAAGAAGAAGAATGAAAAGAAGAATGAAAAGAAGAAGAAGAAGAATGAAAAGAAGAATGAAAAAGAAGAAGAAGAATGAAAAGAAGAATGAAAAGAAGAAGAAGAAGAATGAAAAGAAGAATGACAAGAATGAAGAAGAAGAATGACAAGAAGAAGAAGAAGAATGAAAAGAAGAATGAAAGAAGAAGAAATGAAAAGAAGAATGAAAAGAAGAAGAATGAAAAGAAGAATGAAAAGAAGAAGAAGAATGAAAAGAAGAATGAAAAGAAGAAGAAAAGAAGAATGAAAAGAAGAAGAAGAAGAATGAAAAAGAAGAAGAAGAAGAATGAAAAGAAGAAGAATGAAAAGAGGAATGAAAAGAAGAAGAAGAAGAATGACAAGAAGAATGAAAAGAAGAAGAAGAAGAATGAAAAGAAGAAGAAGAATGAAAAGAAGAAGAAGAAGAAGAATGAAAAGAAGAATGAGAAGAAGAATGAAAAGAAGAATGAAAAGAAGAATGAAAAGAAGAATGAAAAGAAGAAGAATGAAAAGAAGAAGAATGAAAAGAAGAATGAAAGAAGAATGAAAAGAAGAATGAAAAGAATGAGAAGAATGAAAAGAAAAATGAAAAGAAGAAGAAGAAGAATGAAAAGAAGAATGAAAAGAAGAAGAAGAATGAAAAGAAGAATGAAAAGAAGAAGAAGAATGAAAAGAAGAAGAAGAAGAAGAATGAAAAGAAGAATGAAAAGAAGAAGAAGAAGAAGAATGAAAAGAAGAAGAAGAAGAATGAATGAGAAGAATGAAAAGAAGAATGACAAGAATGAAAAGAAGAATGAAAAGAAGAATGACAGAATGAAAAGAAGAAGAAAAGAAGAAGAAGAATGAAAAGAAGAAGAAGAATGAAAAGAAGAACGAAAAGAAGAAGAAGAAGAATGAAAAGAAGAAGAAGAAGAATGAAAAGAAGAATGAGAAGAAGAATGAAAAGAAGAATGAGAAGAAGAATGAAAAGAAGAATGAAAAGAAGAAGAATGAAAAGAAGAAGAAGAATGAAAAGAAGAAGTATTCCAGTACAGCAAAAAGTGTATCTGCAGAGAGCTCCGCTATTTCTGACAGTTCTCTGACAGTTCCTTCACATTTACAGCGGTTGAAACATTGTATCTATTTATTTCCGAATAAAAACATCTGTATCCTAAATGGAAACAAATAGATACAATGTTTCAACCGCTGTAAATGAACTGTCAGAACTGTCAGAAATAGCGGAGCTCTCTGCAGTGACACTTTTGCCGGCTGATCGGGAAAAAATTTGATTCGTGCACCCGAAGTTTGCTAAAATTCGGATTCGATGCGAATCGAATTTTTCCTGAAATTCGAAACGAATTCCACTTCGCCAGGTTCGATTCGCTCATCTCTAGTTACAATGTAACACAACTGTTTTCCCTCTAAACACAGGAATGCTGATGGCTGTTGTAAAATGTTGCAATAGATTATAAACAGATTAGCTGTGTAAAGTCACCTTAAACACAAGAGTTTTTCAGCTTTTTTTTAGCGTTTTTGCATTAGCATCTAGCGATGTTTTTCTGCATTTGCATTTTTTTTATCCAAAAAAATAAATGTTTTGGTCAAAAAATTTCCAAAAATATCGGTTTGCAGCGTTTCACTGCGTTTTTCAGCGTTTTTAACAGCTAAAAGACTCCTGTAGAATTCCACTAGTCCCGGTTTTTTTCCAGCGAAAAAAACGCCCCAGCCAGAAAATGCTGAATAAAGCCCATGTGTGTATGGACACATAGGATAACATGCTGGGGGGGTTTACAGGCTGTAGAAAAAAAACAGCAAAAGTTAACAACAGCCGCTGTAAAAAACGTCCAGTGTGCATGAGGGCTAACGCTGAAAAACATTTTTTTAAGAAAACGCTTAATAACCGCAAATGCAGAAAGACACGTCAAAACGCAGCTTTTTGGCTAAAAATGCAAACGCAAAAAATGCCACTAACCGTTAATACAAAAATGCTAAAACTCACGTTTTTAACGTGACTTTACACAGCTAACGTTACCAGCGTTAATAAACGCCCCGTGTGCATGGAGCCTCTAGAGCGGAGTGCTTAGTTTCCGTGGTGAATGTAAGGAATGTAGATGATAGCCTTCCAGTACTTACGGCGACAATTGCGCAGAATGGCGCTGCCAAAATAACCGGCTTTGCACTCTCCGCAGTGATGTCCGTCAGTGTTGTGGAGACAATTCAAGCACATGCCGGTCCGCGAGTCACATGATTCGGGATCGGTGGGATCGATGTTGTTGTTACACTGACAAGGGCGACATTCTCCGCCATCCTGGTCCGGGTTCCCAAAGTAACCAGGGGAGCAGCGATCACACCGTGAACCTAAACAAAAAGTAATGAAAATATAAAAAAATAATACTTGTATAATAAAAGCTGATTCTTTATCACGTGTAATACTTTTACCTTAGACCTCCCTCCAGCAGGCTTCAGACCTTTCCTCTTCACTCCGACTCCTTGGGATTCCCTCACACCCCTCACATACAATGCAGGGTTATTGGTCCTGCATTGTACTTGATGACGTCAGAAAACGTGTCTCACAGATATCGCAGCCATATAGAATTCGGAAAGCAGATTGGGCAAACTGTCTCTCTCCATTTTTTGAATCTTATTTTTTAAATCTCTGCAGTTTATTTTCTCACTACTAGTCCAGCCTTGTCAAATCATAATTATATTCAGGGTACATGTAAGGCCAAAATGCAAAAAAAAAATGATAATATTGCTAGCATTTTCTCTTTTTTTTAGTTCAATCTAATTTTATTAAATCCAAGGTGTAACACCTCCTCACCCAGGCCAATTCTGGCATTTCTTTCCTACATGTCAAAATCATAATTTTTTTGATAGAAAATTAAATCAGAACCCTCCCAAAATTATTTAAAAAAATTAAAAAATAAATAAAAATAATTATCTCTATTATCTATTCTATCTATCTATCTATCTATCTATCTATCTATCTATCTATCTATCCATCATTCCATCCATCCATCCATCCATCCATCCATCCATCCATCCATCCATCCATCCATCCAAAATCCATTATCTATTATCTATCTATCTATCTATCTATCTATCTATCTATCTATCTTTATCTATATCTATCTATATCAATGTCTGTTAAGTTTTCTATATATTGGCGAAATGTCTATTATTCTATTATCTATATATCCTTCTATTCTATCTATTCTGTCTGTCTGTCTGTCTGTCTATCTTCTGTCTATCTATCTATCTATCTATCTATCTATCTATCGATCTATCGATCTATCGATCTATCTATCTATCTATCTATCTATCTATCTATCTATCTATCTATCTATTGATCTATCTATCAATCTATCTACATACATACATACACATATATAAAATGTATTTATTTATTTTTAGCAGAGACCCTAGAGAATAAAATGGCGGTCATTGCAATTTTTTTACGTCACACAGTATTTGCACAGGAATTTTTAAAATGCTGTTTTTAAAAACAAAAACACTTGATTTATAATGCAACAAATCAAAGATATAACCCAATCTTTTGGTAACATATAAAAAAAAATTATGTTTACACCGAGTAAATAGATACCTAACATGTCACGGTTTATTAAAATTGCATGCACTCGTGGAATGGCGCCAAACTACGATAACTTAAAAATCTCCATAGGCAATACTTTAAAACATATTTTTTTACAGATTCCAGTTTAGAGTTAGGGTAGAGGTCTAGCACTAGAATGATCGCTCTCTCATTATAATGTTTGCGTTGTGCATGGTTCGAACTCCCTGTAAATATGCGGCCGCGACCTACATATGCATTTGCTTCTGTGTGCGAGCACGAGGGGTAGGGGGCGCTTGGGTTTTTTAAAATGTATTTATTTTATTTTTATTGTTTTATTTTTACATTGTCCCTTAAACTTTTTTTTAAAATAAATTTTTATTCCCATTTAAAAGTAATGTAAACATTCCTTGTAATAGGAGTAAGACATGACAGTTACTACCTTTTGTACCACTAGCCCCTCCCTCCTAGATTGTAAGCTCCCAGGATCAGGGCCCTCGTATCCCTCTTGTATTGAACTGTATTGTTGCTGTATTGTCTCCCGTTATATTGTAAAGCGCTGAGCAAAACTGTTGGTGCCATAAATCCTGTATAATATATAAAATATATAAAATATACCTGTATAATAATAATAAATATATAAAAATCCTGTATAATAATAATAATATATAAATCCTGTATAATAATAATAGAATATAAATCCTGTTAATAATAATAATATATAAATCCTGTATAAAATAATAATATATAAATCCTGTATAATTAATTAATAAATATATAAATCCTGTATAATAATAATATATATCCTGTATTAATATATAATAATATATATAAATCCTGTATAATAATAATATATAAATCCTGTATAATAATAATAAATATAAATCCTGTGTAATAATAAATATATAAATCCTGTATTTTTAATAATAATAATATTAAATCCTGTATAATAATAATATATAAATCCTGTTAATAATAATAATAATATATAAATCCTGTATAATAATAATATATATAAATCCTGTATTAATATATAAATCCTTTATAATTATATATAAATCCTGTATAATAATAATAATGACAGGTCATCTTTATGGAGAGTTTCTGGCATCATCCAGATATCTCCACTCAAACCCAAGGACGTCATATGACATCATGCAGGCAGCAAGTGAATAAAGAACAAACAGCAGAGGTACAAATGATATAAATACCCGGCATAAGAATACTATCAGCAGTCTGAAAAACATCATATAACAGCATAGAGCAACAATAAGTATACAACCCCAAAGCCCGTAATAAGAGCAAATGTACCAATAACATAAGGTGTAGGGGGGGCAGGGTGTCTTTCATTTAAATTTCGTGTATAAAAAAAAATGCAAGACAGAAAAGGCCACAAATACCCCATGTTCACACCTAACCGTTCTCCGCAGTGTTTTGCGTTTTGCAGAAACGCACTACAGTCCATTTAACATTTACATCTCCACGTTTTCACCCGGTGCGTGTTTTGGAAAGGTTCAGGGACCTTTCTGCACATATAAAGTTGTGTTTTTGGTTCTATAGACTTCAATGGAAATGCTGCAGAGAAGCATGTAGTTACTTTTTTGCTGTGATTTTTATGCTCTTTTGCCGCATTTTTGATGCATATTTTATACGTTTTGCATTTGAAATCTGCCTAGCGACAAGAAAGAAAAAATTCATTAAAAAAAAGCGGCAAAAATTCAAAATGCAATGCAAAAATGGATTAAACGTAAATTGCGTGGGTGTGAACCTAGTGTTAGACGGAGACAGAACTCTTAAACCATGAGAAGACCTAAGAAGAATTTTCATGAGTTGTCCCCAACAAAATTGATGACAATTAAGTTAAAAGATACAAAATTTATTACATTATATATATTATCAAAATATATTGAATACGGCCAAAATAGTAGTATTTCAAATATATATGTCAATATATTTGGGAAAATATTTTAAAAATATATTTAAAATATGTTTTTCTTCCATGTGGGACATGCATGTGTTCAATATTTTAATATTAATACATTTTGTAAATGTTGTAACTTACCGTATTTTTTCGCTCTATAAGACGCACTTTTTTCCCCCCCAAAAAAGGGGGGAAAATGTCAGTGCGTCTTATGGAGCGAATATGGAGCGGCCGGTCTTGTATTTCCACCGCCGCCGTGTCAGAATACCGGGCCGGCCGCTCAGCTCTGCAGCGGGACTTTATGGAGATGACTGCTGACCTTTGGGGAGGGGGGGAAGCGGGTACCTGAATTTGACAGGTACCCACTCTTACTTCCGCGGAGTTGTTCTTTGATCTTACCTGTTCCTCTATCCAGCCGCGCGCTGTCTTCCCCGGCTTCTGTAGTGTGGGCGCTCGGCATGACAGCCGGGTGCCAAGTGCGCATGCGCAAGAAGCGGTGCTTTTTGTGAATGGTAAGGAGGTACCTGGGACACATGACAGATCCCAGAAGCCGCCGGATCAATCACAAACCGCAAGTGCTTCTCGCCCATGCGCACTGGGCACCCGGCTGTCATGCCGAGCGCCATTACAGAAGCCGGGAAGACAGCGCGCGGCTGGATAGAAGAACAGGTAAGGTCAAAGAACAACTCCGCGGAAGTAAGAGCGGGTACCTGTCAAATTCAGGTACCACCTCCCCCTCCCTCCCCAAAGGTCAGCAGTCATCTCTTGTGCTGTCCGCAGTCTCTGGTCATCCCTGTGCTGTCCGCAGTCTCTGGTCATCTCTTGTGCTGTCCGCAGTCTCTGGTCATCCCTGTGCTGTCCGCAGTCTCTGGTCATCCCTGTGCTGTCCGCAGTCTCTGGTCATCCCTGTGCTGTCCGCAGTCTCTGGTCATCCCTGTGCTGTCCGCAGTCTCTGGTCATCCCTGTGCTGTCCGCAGTCTCTGGTCATCCCTGTGCTGTCCGCAGTCTCTGGTCATCCCTGTGCTGTCCGCAGTCTCTGGTCATCTCCTGTACTATGTCTGCAGTCTCTGGTCATCTCCTGTACTATGTCCGCAGTCTCTGGTCATCTCCTGTACTATGTCTGCAGTCCATTAGTTCAGAATTTTTTTTCCTGTTTTCTGCCTCTAAAACCTAGGTGCGTCTTATGGAGCAAAAAATACGGTAATTGTCATCAGTTTTGTTGGACACAACTCATGAAGGTCCCATGGGCACAAAATCTTGTTAGGTCTTCTCAGTGTATTAAGAAACACATCTGAGGTTTCACTATCCCGTATGTTTCATCCTGGAAAAAAATCGAAGGTAGAGGAGCAACTATGTAAGGTAATTGGGTTGCTACCGGAGTAGCAAGGATAAGGCCAGGGACGCATTTTTTTTCTTTTTTTTTTTTTTTTTTCTTTTTTTTTTTTTTTTTTGGTGGCGTTTATGATCAGTGAGGACATGCTTTTTTGGCTATTGAAGGATACCCATGTGCTCGACTTCTTACCTGTATAGCCAGGAGCGCAGAGACACACGATATGGCTGGAGTCTCGGTCCGCGTAGCAGGAGCTGCCATGATAGTTTTTTGAGTACCTGGATAGCCAGGACAAGGACAGGGACGGCACTGCTGGCCAGTGCCCAGAATAGGATCTCCATAGTAACCGTCCAGGCACCTAAAAGGGATGACTGAAATTAGGAGTATGTTCCTGATGTCTGTGAA